AAGGTGACACAAGGGAGGTGGCCAGTGCTGCTCCACAGGACTCCAGGGGCAGCTGGCTCCTGGCACACACGGGGAAGCTGAGAGCAGAGAAAAGCACACCATTAGAAGGAAATGGAGCATGTGCTAATTTGTCTGTGTTTTCAGTTAGCACGCATTTATTAGGATGTCTGACTTGCTCATATCCAGGTCAGCCTGGTAATATATTAACCTCTGGTGCCACAGACGTGCACAGGAAAAAATCAAACCACAATTCACAGGGATTTTACACACTGCCCAAGGCACTTCCTGACCATGCCCAGCACTGGCAGCTGGAGGTACTGCTGGTTGCCACCACAGCATCCATCACCCTGACAAGGAAGGGATGCTGAGGCTCCTGACTGTGGGGCTCTGGGCCAAACAGCAGAGGATTGGGACCCCTGTGAGACAGGGACCAGGGCACTGGGAGCGCTGTGAAAGGGGAAGCAAGAGATCAGGGTCAGGGGATGCTGAATGGGTCAGGAGAGCCAGTGCTAGATCACAGACCGAATGCTCCTGCAAATGTCAACAAAACCATACACATATTTTCATTTCTACCTATTTGACCTATGAACTAACTGCAAAATTTCTCTCTAATCCCTAGTAGATGAGCATCAGAGCAGACCTAGGGTCCAGGCTAATCCCTTTATTATGAAGCAATGCTACGGAAATCAAATACCAGCAGTAAGTCAGGAGATTAACAAGCTGGGAAATGCACAAATTAAATTGCATCCTCCCTCTCTGCTCGGGCCCAGCCAATGGCTCTTTTTCTGCTGTGGCCACTGCAGCTGCCCCAGCAGGAAAACAAGGCCAGAAATCCCTTTATAAAAATGAGCCTCTCTTTAATCCCTGATGCAGGTAGCAAGCAGAGTCTGCCCAGGATGAACCCCTGTCCGTGCAGCCCCTCATGGTGGGGTTCTAGGGGATGTCCTGTGCAGGGCCAGCAGCTGGACACAATGATCCTTGTGGGTCCCTTCCAGCTCAGGATATTCTGTGATCCCAGGGATCCTCCTGGGGCGTGGCAGGAGTCAGGCTGCCGGCTCTGCCCTGACCCAGCAGCATGGAGCATCTGCCTTTATGGCACAGGACCATCTAAATGAATATTTTATTCATTCCCTTAAGAACATCTTCACAAATGCACAGTTGAATAAAACATGAGGATGCATTTTTGGAAGAGCCATCTAATGCTTCCAACAGCCCCATCACAGTCTATTAACCAGAGAAAAGACTGTGCTGTTGTATTTTTATTTTAGTGATTCTGATAGAGTCCCATGGCATGCAAGGCAGTGGGGAAGGTGCCCACGGCCCCATCTCCCTGTGGCCACGTGTCCCCACGTCCTGGTGGTGGGGCTGTGGCTGCTGTTGGCTTCTGTCCTGAGCGTGGGAGGGATGGGGCAGCATGCCTGGGTGCTGAAGCCCCTTGGTTCACATCCCCTAAACAGGGATATATCTACTTGCAAACAAGCCAGACTGGGGAAAAAATAAAGCACTGTTCTTAGTGAAAGGTATTGGCAAAGTAGAAAAAATACCTGACCCATGTGCTCACGTCCAAATACACTAGTGCCAGAAGAGCCATGGGCACCTGCCACCTCTGAATCCTGTAAGCTGGATGAGACAGGTTCTGCTTCTCATCTCTGATAAACCAGTTCCAGGTTTCTCCATTGCTGAGCACAGCACGGGAGATGCACAGGGATGTTTTTGCATGGCTGAGGTGATTCTAACAAAAATCTTTCTACTTCTGGAAAAGACAATTCTTTTCTAGTTTGAATTCATTGAAAAGCAGCAATTAAGCCAATGGGCAGAGAGGAGCAAGCAGAGCCACGGCAGGAGAGTGGAGGGGGCAGGGGTTATAGGGAATGGGAGCCAATTAAGGCCGAGAGGAGGAAATTTAGCACAGTTAAAGAAAACGTTCCTCCAGCCCTAAATTGGACTTGCACTCCCCAGTGCAAGGGGCCACTGGTGGTAGGTTCCCTGTGGGATGCCATAGGAGCAGCACTTGCAAAAGTCACAAGGGTGGCACTAGTTAGAGCAGCAAAGCATCAGGAAAAGGGAAACAGCTTTTGGGGAAGAGGACAGACCAGGTGTGGCCTGAAGGCACCACGACTGGGTGAAGGAAAGGGCACCAAAGGTGTGACCCTTGGAGGCCTCCCCTGCTCCCACAGTGACACAGAGCTCACCATCCAGGAGAGCACAGCAACCCCAACGTGGACAAGGTGAGGTCCCTGTGAACGTCCTCCCTTGGAAAGCTCCTGTTCTGGAATAGCTTGGCATCACTGCTGACAGGTAGCACTGATTTATAAAGCAGAAATAAATGAGCCTGCTCCGCAATTTCACCTAATTTTGTCTCCCATTTCAATTTGCCATCTTTCAGCATAATGCTGGGTGGTTAATTATGTTTCCATCTTATTTCTTTGATAATACTGCACCTTGTACTGCTCAAAGGGTTTCATTTTACCTTTCATTTCACCTCCTAGCACAGCTCTACATTTAGTCAGCTTGTAATTTGGGGGTATTTTATGCATTATGCTTTTAGTATTTGTAGGTAAAATGGAATCCTTGTCTTTTAATTCACTCTCTAATAATTCTCCACCAAATCTTAATACAAAAGACTTTTTTTTTTCCCTGAAGACTAATTGAATGGGGTGTAATTATAATACCCAGGGAGATTATATTGAAAGTACGTTAACTGTGACAGTTTCCTCTGACTAATCACCCCTTGGGCAACTTTAAATCTTGTCTGTGCAAGCTCCCAGTCAGATACTGCACAGATCTGCCAAGGCAGAACTTGGCACAAGACTTTCCCACCAAGATGGGGACTTGGGCAGGGTGGATCTGGGACCCTGGCACGAGAGCTTGGGGTGTCCAAGCTGCTGATGCAGCTGCAGGGGTTGATTTGCGTTGTCATCTTATTGCAGGGGTTCTATAGTGTTGTCTCCTTACCACAAAAGTTTCATACCTTCTTGGTGTTTTCATGTGGGCATCTCCTCAGAGCACTGATTCTCTCTCCTTCACAAAGCAGCCAACTGACTCCAGTTCCCTTCTTAACCAGCCACCCACTCTTTTATAGCACTCTTCTTCTCACTGGTTAGAGCTGTGGCCTGTTAAAGTCAGGCCTGTTCCTAATCTTTGATAATGGGCCCAGCTGCAACTCCTTAGGGGTAGGAGTACTTTCTATACTATCTTTATTTTCTTATATTCTATCCCCCTGCAGATTTGTCCTTCAGGGACCAGCAGTGTGGTCACACAGAGAGAGAAGGGATCGGGGTGTCTGCTGGGGACCGTGCAGGTGGCATTGTCCCACTGAGGCGGTGAGGAGACAGGGCACAAAGTCCTTGTCTCAGCCCAGAGATGTTCCCATCACCATCACCCTCCTCCTCGGTTTATTTCTCCTGCTAGGATGTTTGTCTGCTTGGCCAGAGGAAAGCACTGAAAATACAGTGAGTGGAAGAAGGGCAGAGGGCCAGAAGTTGTGGCAGCAGCATCCTTGCCTGGCTGCTCAGGAGTCAGAGGTAACAGCAGCAGTCCTGCAGGCTGCAGTGCTCTCCTTGGAAACACATTTACCTGCCAGGAGAGGAGCAGCAATTTGCAGTATTTGTGTACTCTGATGGTGCGATAGCAGCGAGGTCAGCACTCAGCAGAGACACCAAGGGGCTATTTCCTCACTAAACTGTGGGCTGCAGTAAGTGAAAAATAAGCTTCAAGGGTGCCTATTATGCAGACAATAAAATGTTTTTATACCAATGTAGGTGTCAAGCTCAACACTTCCGCAGAGTGGATCCTTCACATTATGAGCCAGCTATGAAAATGCTCAGCCAAGCAGGGACGTTCTCATCTACAGCCTGGTGTTTCCTGCTGGAAATAACAGATTCTCCCTCTGCATCCGACAGCCTAGGTTCTCAGAGGGCACAGGACTCCAACAGGGAACCTTTGAAATCCCAGTCTGGCCTTTGGCAGGGGGAGCATCTTCGGGGGCACGGCGCTGCGGCAGTGGGAGCTGCCACACAAAGGGGAAGCAACAGGAAAAGAGAAGCTCTCAGCAAAGCATCCTGTAGAAATTAATGCACTTTTCCTTAGGATCGCTATGAGCTACTCAGCCTTTGCTGGCCACAACAGGCTTTCAGCTCTCCTCCAAAGCCATCATTGAAAAAGCTGGTTGGGACTGGAATGGCCGGGGCAGAGTCCCCAGCCCCTCCACCTCAGATTCAGCAGCATGAGAAGCACTACCAGAGACTCCTTTAGGTGATAAGCGAAAAGATCATTTGCAGAGATTAAAATGAATTTATTATTTCACAGTCTGGTATTTACATCACATCTGCAGAGAGTATTACATACCCCATTACAAAAACGTCTCAATAACGAGTCCTGTGGTGGGAGCCAGGGCAGGAGGCAGCAGAGACAGCAGGGACCCCCTCACTGCCATGGTCCACACCATCTCCAGCCCCTCCTGCGCCAGCACATCCCCTGCAGGGTCCCAGAGCAGTCCCAGAGCAGGGCTGGGGGTGCTGGTCCCACAGCCCCAGGGTCCCCAGCACCTCTGACACTGGGGGCACAGAGCTCACGTTGTGCCCCACCTTGAGTTGCCACACCACAGGAAATGGTGCGTCCTGGAGAAGGCCATGAGCTCAGGGCCAGAAGGTAGTACATTTTTCTTTATTTTGGATTACTACAACAAAATCTAGCTTGGTCAGAGGCCCTTTCTGATGCACCAGACACCCCAGAGCTGCAGACAGAGAGGTCGCCTCACACAAATCTGAAATTCAATTGCAAACACAAGCAGAAACTCAGTGCCTGGGATTTGCATGGTGGAAAACACTAAATTCGCAACCTGAATAATGCAATTACTGAGGAAGGAGAAACCAGCAGCATGCACCATGGAGACATCTCACCATCCCTGGGAGCCAACAGGATGTCAGACACCCTCTGACTATGCTGCCACATCTGCTGCCTGTGGTCATGGTGGTGGGGCAGGGAAAGGCCAGGCTCTCAGTGACCCAGGGTCAGGCTGGAGCTCAGCAGCTGCTCCTAGGAACCCCAGGGCTAGGAGCCACGTGGGGAAGGGTTTCACATAACCACTGATTTCCCGATTCCAATGCAACCTGGATTCAGCATCTCGGGGGGAAAGGCGACTCACAGCAATGATTTCAGCTATTCAGACTAAAGCCCACTTTGGGGGCCTGCTGCCTGCCTGTCTCTGCATTGTCAACAGCTCTTACATAGTGGGAGTATTTTATTTAGGAGGGTTAGAAAACGAGCCCGTTTCTTGGTTGGTGAAGGTGTCCCCAGAAAAGGAGGAAACCGTGGAGTGACGGGATGCTGGCACTGTGCTGGGACCCCTCCTGCAGCCGCCAGGGAAGCTGGGGCGCAGAGGATGCTCTGATCCAGCAGCTGCCACAGTCCTGCTGGTGGGCGCAGCCTGGCAGCCCTGCAGCACCCGCCTCTGCAGGGCCGCATCCTGCTGCCCACGGGAGCACCAGACCCACGGCAAGGCTGCTCAGCCCGTGCCGCGCTGCACGGGGTCTATCGAGTGACCTGCGGAGGAGAGCAGAAATCATCCAGTGCATCCAGCTGATTCCCCATCCATGAATTATCAGCAAACAGCCTCAAGAGGTGCAAATAAGATTGGCTCTTTACTTTCATTTAACGGAGTGGCCATTCCAAATGTCACCTTAAGGATGGTTTGTGATTTTTGTGCTCTAGCTGCAGCTCCCACTGAGGTGTGCCTGCACAGGGGACTGAGATGCAAATCCAGCCCTTTGGCACCATTCCAAAGTCACTAAAGTCATCCAAAGTTACCAGAAGTCCTTTTGAAAACACAGGTCTGTGTTCCCAAACTGCTGCCTCCCTAAGGAGGGGCACAGCACCCAAAAGGAGGTTGGCCATGGAGGGGTCTGTTGGATGAGGCAGGAGAGCAGAAGCTCCCAAGTTCTGCTCCCATTCCAGATGGGAATGGTCCCAGTGAGAGTTCAAAACAGCAAAGCCAGAGCAGAGGTTTTGTGCTAAGTCAGTTGCTGGGGGAAACCAACCAAACAACACTCAGAGGGGGAAAAGACAACCAGCTCAATGTAATGCTGTAGGTACTGGTCAGTGATGGATGCTCAGGGCTGGAGGAACCTTTTTGGTTGTCCATAAAAACACTTCAGCATGAAAGTGCTTTCTGTGCACAAAAATAATAGCAGCAATGAAAAAAATCCTGACATTGCTTAATACGATAATTTTGTGGTGGGGGATGTGGGGTGAGGAAAACGAAAGCATAAGGAATAATTACACTCAACAGTATGAACAATGATTACAAAATTATGCAACTGATTAACCATGGCATATATGTAATTACTAATGAGTTTGATAAAATTTTAATTACACCTTGTTCTTTGGGGTATTCAGCAAGCCATGAAAATAATAATCGTGTAGTGTTCTGTCACAAATGATTGCCTCAGACAGGGAACAGAGACAGATTCAGGGCTGTGCCACTGGGTTGGGAAGGGCAGCCCGTGGCCCTGGAGCAGTGGGTAGTGCTGGGGAGCAACCTGGACAGCCTGGGAGCCCTGGGATGTTACACAGACACACCTGGGGTGTCGGCTCAGGGGCTGAGCCATCCAACACCAAGCCTTCCAGCAAGAATGATCAAGTGGAAAAGCTCTGCGATGCACGCAGGGTTGTGGCATGCCTGCCAGCCCCTCCAGCACCAGTGACAAGTGCACAGCCCAGACCCTCTGCTCTGCTCCAGTGAGTCCTTATCAGTGTGTGCCCTGAAGGAGCTGGAGCTCTCTCCTGCCCCCAGAGCTGTGGGTGCTCTCCTGGGTGTTGCTTGCTTGCCCCAGGCTGGGGAAGGCACACCTGTGCTCCCCCCAGCACCTGGCAGGGACGTACCTTGGTCGTCTTCACTTTGTTGCCACTGCTGCAGCTCCATCCCGACAGGTCAGGCAGCACTTTGCATTCCTCCCCGTGCAGACACGGCTCCATCTGGCACCACCACTTCTGCAGCACGATGGAGGCTGCGGAGAGGACGGGATCAGCAGCCAGGCTGCAGCACAGGGCATGGGGGACCAGCTGTGCCCACCCTCGGGTGACACCAGGAGATACAGCCCCTCTCTCCAGCACAGCTCACATTGAGGAGCCCTGGACCAGGAGCTGCTCCTCACCTGCCTGGCCTCACCTGGCCCAGCTGCTCCACCTGCCTCCAGAACACTCTGTTTTCTCTCACTACCCAAGGAAAAAAAAGCCCAGAGTCCTCACACCCAGGGAGAGCAGTGCTGTTCAAGAACCTGTTTCAAGCTCCACTTACAGAGCAAAGGGATTGTCTCCTACCACTCTGCTCTACTAGGGTCTTGTGATTCATGGCTCCAGTCTGGGCAACCAGAGTGGGCTCTCTTGTATTTGGGAACAATATGACCTGAGCAGCTGGGGACAACAAGAGCCTTTCCTAACAATTTATCCTGGCATTACTTGGTGTTGCACAGAACTGCAGTCACAGGCCACTGGTTGTCAAGCAAATCAATACCATGCTGGCAGGGGCTGGTGATGGCTCTTTGGTCGTAGCACATAATGGCATTCAATAAAACATACAGGTTGTATGCCTGGTGCTCCTCACAGGCAAAGGTGTTGCATGGCTGGAATCATATCCCTGCTTCCAGCTGTGGCAGCAGGGTGAGGAGACGTGCAGGGATCAGTGCTGCAGACCTGACCCCAGCACTGTGATGCTGGCACCCCCGTAACTCCCCCACAGCACACAGCCCAGGGCTGCACAGAGTGGAGTATCACAGCCACACCAGCTCAGTGAGTGTCCAATGAGAGAGTGCCCCAAAATGTGCCCCCTTCCCCATTGCTCTGCTGCAGGATCCCAGCTAATGCCAGGGACATGGAGACCCCGCACCTGTTTAACCCATGAAGATGAGGTCAGGGATTGAAAAGGAAGGGGTTGCACCGTGGGTACTCACCATCCACGCAGGAGGGAGCTGCCCGTGTTGTCCCTGCCACCTGCCCTGGGAAGCAGGAGCACTTCACCGTCTGGGAGCGCTCCTCGATCTTGTTCTTGTTGCAGCACCGGTGAGCTGCAATCACCTCGCACGTGCCGGGCTCCACGTGCACTGCAGGAGAAACAGCCCCGTGAGCCCAGAGAGCTCAGGCCATGCCCTGCCCTGGGCAACACTCAGAGACCCCAGAGAGCTCAGGCCATGCCCTGCCCGCTGCCCTGGGCAGCTCTGCTGCTCTGAGCTGCGACCAAGGCACAGGAGAGCCCGGTATGTGCAGCGGTGTCCCAGCTCTGGAATCTCCCCTTGGGCTGCTGGTGACGTACAGCTGGTGTCTGGGCACAGCATCTTCCCAGCCCTCGTGTCACGAAAAGTGCTGGTACCTGCTCCACACCTCTCATATCTCAGCTCTTGCTCCTAATAGCCCTCACACCCATCGTACCCTCCAAAATGCATCCCCTCTTGCCACGGCCAAGCCAAGAGCTTTATTGAAACCAACGAGCACATTAGCTAATTGCAGCTGATAATGAGATGCACTTTGCTACAAGAGGGGATGGTGCACTGTGCTGCTTTTGGCTTCAAGCACAGCACCATCCCTTCCGACCACAGCTACAGTCAGTGCCTCCACCTTGCCATCACCCACCCTCTCCCTGGAGGAGGATCAGGTTTCCACCCTGCAGCGGCAGAGAAATGTCATGGTGTTCATCAGCAATTCAAGCTGCTCTGCTGCTCCCCCTCCCAGTGCCATTAAAATATTAAGGAAAATAGAAAACTACCGTGTTGGCTGATCACCTCTGGGATCAGAGTTTAGAGCTGGTCAGCATCTCAAATCAGTGCTCCAGCTGGGTAATGGCCCACACAAGCACAATACAAATCAGCCAAAAAGGGCTGACAGACTTCATTCCCACAACCCCAGAGATGCCTGCAGGTCCTGCTTAATGAGCACTGGGGCAGCAGTGCAGAGCCACACATGGGCACGTCCTGCGTCCTGTGGGTCACTGGGGACAGTCTTTTATTCCCTAGCAAACAGGAGCCAAGCTGGGTAGAGGACAGGGAAGCTGCATTCCTGCAGAGTGGCATCCCAAAATGTACGCAGGCAAGCAGGCATCACGGCATTCCTGGTTGCTCCACGCCCTCGGCTCAGGACACTTCCCACCGCACACCGGCAGGATGGGCTGCACAATCACCATGACTCTAATTTACGCCATTTAGTGCTATTTCATGGTCATTTTCTTTTAATTAACCCTTATTTTCATTTCTGTCCATAATAATTACACCATTATTATATGGAATATTTTGTAATAATATCTCTGGCCACAAATTTTATCTTCTCTTTGAAATTCCATAGTAATTCAGCTTTAATGATAAATTCTATTCTTTTTGTATACAGAAATGGTAGGCTTCGGTGAAAGTGAAAAGCAAAGCAACTCTTTGCAGAACGAACATGACTGTTTTGCCCTTCTTTATGCTTCATGGTATTTTTCAAATAATTTGAGGAGGAAGCAGAGATCCTTGGCCTGGGCTGCCTATGAGCCCACATTCCTCTCACACTGTGGTCCAGGACCACAAGGAGTCACTCTTCCCCCCTCGTGCACCTCACCAGGGAATTTTACACCCTCAAGTCTCAGTGTTCCCACGTAGTTACTGTTTTGACTCATTTTCAGAAAAGCTCCATTAGCAGAGCTCTTCCCGGGAGGGCTGCCCAGGCAACCCCTCTGCTCCCTTGCAGTCCTGCTCTCCGGCTGCTCATTTCCAGCTAATTTTAAAAGGTTCAGCCAAGGGAGAGCCAGGCAGAACTGAGAAATCGGTCATTACAACCATGTAAGAGCAGTTTGCTAATGTGTCAAAGCCCTTTTAATTTGCTCGGAAAGGTGCAGCTCAGTGATAAAGAGAAATTTGACTCCCTCTGCCTTATGGCAGCCAGCTGAGTGTGGGGCATTGCAGTGCCCAGAGTCCTTGCCCAGGCAGAGCTGCCTGTGTGGGGCAGGTACCCCATTGCCCTGGCACAGCCCCCCAGCCCGCTTGGGGCACACACAGCCCCCCAGCCCCTGGCACAGCCCCATTGCCCTGGCACAGCCCCCTTGGGGCACACACAGACCCACAGCCCCCTTGGGGCACACACAGCCCCCCAGCCCCTGGCACAGCCCCTGGCACAGCCCCACAGCCCCCTTGGGGCACACACAGCCCCCCAGCCCCTGGCACAGCCCCTGGCACAGCCCCACAGCCCCCTTGGGGCACACACAGCCCCCCAGCCCCTGGCACAGCCCCACAGCCCCCTTGGGGCACACACAGCCCCACAGCCCCTGGCACAGCCCCCAAGCCCCCTTGGGGCACACACAGACCCACAGCCCCTGGCACAGCCCCCAAGCCCCCTTGGGGCACACACAGCCCCCCAGCCCCTGGCACAGCCCCTGGCACAGCCCCCAAGCCCCCTTGGGGCACACACAGCCCCACAGCCCCTGGCACAGCCCCATTGCCCTGGCACAGCCCCCTTGGGGCACACACAGCCCCCCAGCCCCTGGCACAGCCCCTGGCACAGCCCCACAGCCCCCTTGGGGCACACACAGCCCCCCAGCCCCTGGCACAGCCCCTGGCACAGCCCCTGGCACAGCCCCACAGCCCCCTTGGGGCACACACAGCCCCCCAGCCCCTGGCACAGCCCCTGGCACAGTCCCCAAGCCCCCTTGGGGCACACACAGCCCCCCAGCCCCTGGCACAGCCCCACAGCCCCCTTGGGGCACACACAGCCCCACAGCCCCCAAGCCCCCTTGGGGCACACACAGCCCCACAGCCCCTGGCACAGCCCCACAGCCCCCTTGGGGCACACACAGCCCCACAGCCCCTGGCACAGCCCCTGGCACAGCCCCCAAGCCCCCTTGGGGCACACACAGCCCCCCAGCCCCTGGCACAGCCCCACAGCCCCCTTGGGGCACACACAGCCCCACAGCCCCTGGCACAGCCCCATTGCCCTGGCACAGCCCCCTTGGGGCACACACAGCCCCACAGCCCCCTTGGGGCACACACAGCCCCACAGCAAGGGCCCTACTGATGGCAGAGCTGAAGAAGCAGCACGCAGCACCGGACTCATCCCGCTCTCAGGCCACAGAATACTTCCATTTGCCTGAAGGTCTTAGAACTGTAGAATCAGAGCCTGGCTAGGGTTGGAAAGGACCTTAACAATCATCTTATTCCACGCCCTGGCATGGGCAGAGACACCTTCCACCAGGCTGGGTTACTGCAAGCCCCATCCAGCCCAGCCTTGAACACTTCCAGGACTGGGTTCAAGGGCACTCTGAGCCAGGGCCTCACCACCCTCACAGGGAAGAATTTCTTCTGAATGTCTAACCAAAACCTGTCTCCTTCCAGTTTAAACCATTCCCCATTGCATTTTCTTCTGACAATCTGGCACCCTGCCCTGCCCTAGGACACGATGCCATTGGAAATTTGCCCCCTCCAGGTGCCAGCCCAGCCCTGGCAGCAGGACACTGCATCTCCTCCCCAGGCCATGCATTTGAGCCCATGGGGAGCTAGGTAGGGGCCGTCCCAGCTGCCAAAATCCACCTCAGCTCCTACCCACCAGATTCACCTGCTTTCCCAGCCCTGCCACTCGGGGTTTTCATGTCCCATGCTTGGGAAGTGAGAGCAGAGAGGCTGAGCCCATGTGCAGTGCGAGCAGCGGGCCCCAGAGCTCCTGCAGCTGCTTCTCCTTTTGCTGAGCAGCAGGAAACTTGGAACAAAATGCGTATCAGATGGATGGTGTGTTTAACACCGACAGCAGGAAACCTCCCGAGAGCCTGGGATAAGTTCCAGAGCTTCTGGCATGCTTCTCCCTCCCATTTAACTGGTATTTCCCCGCTGGAACCCGTTTTTAAAAGACACAGCTTATCTCATGGAACCATGAAGAATTGTAAGAGCAAACAGCTTTTGAATCCTGCATGCAAAAATAAAATGAAAATGCTGTCCTACTCTGATTGACCTTTAAATGAGCAGTAGAACATGGGGTTTTTATGGCATAACCCGAAATGACACATTTTGAGTATCTCAGGGAGCGTGGGCACAACCCCACATGTTCAGTGTAAAATACTGCTTGCTGGTGGAGAGCTACAAAATGAAGAGAAGTTGGATGCATATGTCAGGCAATGCCAAGAGAACCTCATTTCCCAAAAGAAAAAATCCCAGCTGACTTAAATGCTTTTTTACTTCTGCTTCAGGTTGAGTGATGAGCACAAAGGCAAAGACAGCCCTTTGATTATCAGCTTTAGAAGGTGCTGGGGTAGGGCCACCTTTGTGGTATTTGGATCCAGACATTCCAGCCTTGCTCATCATGAAGCCTCACTACGTTACACGGGGGATTAAACTGCTGGTGAATCATTCTTCACCAAGGAGTCTCTTATTCTGTTCCCAAACGACGTGCTTGATTCATGTGGCCCCTTAAATCCAACCACATTCTGCAGGAAGCAGCACTTTGCTTGGACTAAGCAGCATCTCCATGCGCTGGGTGGGCACAAGGGATCTCGGGCATGTGGTATGATTTGTGTGCAGGGCCAGGAGTTGGACTTAATGATCCTTGTGGATCTCTTCCAACTTGAGATATTCTGTAATTCTGTTATCAGACCTGGTTGTCACAGTCAGACGTGTCCCTGGACAGCAAACAAAGGGTTTGCATGTGGACTCTCCAAGAAATTTTTAAGTTTGAGGTCACAATTCCTCTGCTACTGATAATTTTTGGGTGGTTTTACATGTGAATAAACACAATTCAAAGAAGCAGCTCCCTACAAAGTAATACCATGGATGAGCAGGGCTCTCTGGCACTAGGATTGGGCAGGTTGAGTGAGCATTTAAGCTGCCCGCAGTGCCCATATCCCTGGTAGACCTGATTCAGTGCCAAAAAAGTCATCCCAGAAAAAAAGTGAAGAGTTTTCTCCCAGTTAGAATCACAGAATAGTTTAGGTTGGAAAGAAGCATAAAGCTCATCTTGCTCCACTGCCTGCCACTACCAGAGCCACCTTCCACTAGCCCAGGTTGCTCAGAGCCCTGTCCAGCCTGACCTTGGACACTTCCAAGGATGGGGTATCCAGGGTTAGGAGGAGGGAAGAGCAGGTAGCTGCTGCCTGACTGGGTGAGGGAGGCACTCTGGAAGATGTGTTTTGGTTTTAAGCAATGCGGGTGGGGATTACAGGATTAGAACTGCTTTAACTGTCAGGCAAAAATGACAGAAATAGGACAGGGATAGGTGTGGGGTCAATCAAGAGCGTGAATGGTTTCAAATTAACCCCTAAATGCCCTTTCCAAGCAGAGGCATAGGAAGCAGACAGCAGGTGCCCTGGGATCTGAGTGTTTGCCTGTGCTGCCAGGTGCACAGCTCCACCAGAAACACCAGTAACACCAGCATCCACCTCCTCATACGTCCTCCCACTGTGCTCCAAGGAGCCTGTACAGGTGTACATATGGATCATTTATATGCGTCTCAGATTTTGCTGCAGACATGAAGAAATTCCTTCTTTAGCTCCTTAGACCATCCCAGCTCACCAAGCCACTGGTTTTAAATGCCCCACAATGAGCATTCACAACTTCTATCTCCAAGCAGCAGCTGCTATGGCTGCATGTTCCCACCCATCTTGAAGGAGCCGTCCTGGCAGTTTCCTGCACATGTGGACACTCCAAACGCCAATCCAGCAGCTGTCACAGTGGCACTGTGTTGTGCCTCTTGGTGTCCGTTTGCTGGATGCTGCCCCACACATTTGGCATGCTCATCCTTGCTGCCCAGACCCCAGGAAAAGGGATGGACACTGAGCTCCTTGAGGCTGTCAGCATTTGGTCCCCAGAGATGCCCACCTGCTCCAGGTGTGCACCACAGCCTGGAACTCCTCCTCCCCCGCCAAGAAATGGGAGACAGAACTTCACCAAGCAGCTCATCCCCACGTAACCCCCACCTCAGGCATCCCATGAAGACCCCAAGGTACTGCCATTGGCATGGGGACCCAGATGACTGCACAAGCATGTGGCACATGCAGCAAGGGTCTCGCTCCCCTACCTGAATGGCTTCTGTGCTGATGCGTGGAGGCCAGCGTCAGTCGTCCCCACAGCGTGGTGAGGCAGAGGCTGAGCACGAAAACCCATTTGCTCAGGCTCTGTATATCTCTCTCACTCATTCTACCGAAAACAAGAAGAGATATGTGGAGGAAAAGGGACTGAGGAGGGCTGGGAGGTGCAGATCCACTCACCAGTATGACTCCTGAACGTTGTGAGCACTGGGGTATCTGGCTGTGGGGACATGGCCCTGGGAGATGAAGGGATTGACCCACCACCCTCAGATGACCTCAGACTTCATCAGCAGCATAGGCCATCTCAGCAGCACAGAAAGAGATCCCACCGGCAGTAGTACAGGTGAGTGATGGTTACCTTTTACTGGTGATTCACGGTCACATCTGTGCATCTGCCAACCTCAGGTGGGTCAAGTCTTTGCAAGGAGCAGACATCAGCACATCTGAAAGGAGAAAGAAGGACATGGGCAGTGATACCTGCCATCAGCATGAGCCACTGTGTCCCTGGGAGTGGCTGGGGACACCTGGGAATTTCACCAGCCCCACTGCAGGACACACACTCTCAGGTGCATGAGCACGTGTCCATCGCACCACTGAAACTTCTCCAGGGGCTCCGCCCATAACCCTGCTCACCCCTTTGAACAGCAGGACCTGCAGAGCTGCTCCTGATTTTTACTGCTGAGAGCACAAAATCAGGTCCTTTATAGTAGGTCATTAAAGCAGATGACAAACACTAAATGCACAGGCAGTGTGTGTGGGAAGAGCCAGAGCAGATCAGCAGCGAGTCATTTCAGGTTCTGCCTTGTCTGTGCGTGGGTACATGCTGTGACTGTCCTTGTGTCGCTGAGGTCCCTTGCAGTGATGCCCAAGGCTTGGCACTTGTAAAGCACTTGCTGACAAGCAGAAGGATGGGCTGATCCCGCTGGATGTCCTGGGGCCAGCACCCACAGGAGGCAGGAATTGCAGCAGGAATTGCAGCAGGCTGCCAGTGGGATACGCAGAGCCCACGGCAGTGCCAGGACCTGCAGTCTGCTCTCCCAGGCATCACCTTCCTCTGGGGCTGCTCCTCCTGCCAGCACAGACACCAAATTCCTGCAACCACACACTCAAAACTGCATCAGCTACCCCTGGACACACTGAGAATCTCTCTTGGCACCACACTGGCACCACTCCCACTCCATGCAGCGCATGCTGGGAAGAAGCCAAGTCTTACACCATCTGAAGCCCCTAGAGAAAAACGTAAATCCCAAAAGGTTTTGTATTTTACTGCTGGGTTCTTTAAATGTGTTCTCTTCACTATTTACAGCCCTTCAGATGGGAACAGCTCTGGCACTCCGCAGGCAGCAGCACCAACAGCCCTGTCACTGCTTGGCAGCTGCCAGGTGGCATGGTGACCTCCCAGCCTCCATTATCACCTGCTGGGGTCTCACCACGTCCAGCAAACAACTATGTCCCCCATAAAATATTAGTGCTGGATCATAACTTACTAACAAGACACCACAAAGACCAGTGGCGATGACACGGAGACTGGGGAGTGCTGCCAGGACCAGCAGCAGGTGCCAGGGGTGCCCCTGCCCTGTGCCAACCTTGCACCCACAGTCCCCTCCATGGGCAGTGCACTGGACAAACCCACACCCCTCAGAGAAGAAATCTTCAATTTTCAACCATGTTTGAAATTTCTATCTGCTCCGGACCATGAGACAGTGAAACCACAGACTCCTCTAATGAAGAGGTGATGCTTCTTCACACACAATATGCTGACATTTTTAATCAAAATGAAGTGATTTGAAGTGGTAAAAAGGACATTTCTTGTTTGGAAGCATTTAAAAATGAATTTTCCTGTTTTAAACTGGCATTTCAAAATGAAAAATGCTTCATTCCGAATTGGTGATTTAAAGTGATATTTTGCACTTTGATTCTCCCATCTGGGAAACAAAAATCAGAAAATGTCATCAAAAGTGTTGACATTTGCGCAGGAAGAAACCAAAGGTAGATTGACAAAACCACATATTTTATGCTAAAAAGATAATTTAGAGGTAAGGAAACGCTTATAATTAATGCTGTGGGATGGTCAGCTGGGCCAGGAACAGATTGAAGAGTGTCTGGCAGCATCCCACGTGCTGTCCTGACTCCATCCCTGCCCACTGCTCCAGCCCCTCCATTGCCAGGAGGAATCCAGTGTGGCTCAATGTGCAAGAAAACCATTGCTCCTCAAGGTGATGTGATGGGACTCTAGACTCTCTCCTGTAAACCCATATTTAGGTGATCTCTGATGTTCTGGCACAATATGCTCTGCATGAGGCTTCTCAGAGGGGGATCATACAACAGCTGGTGCTGCTGGAGTCCCCTTGGAGACGTGACAGCCCACTGTGTAAATACGGATGTCAGCTCAAAGCATGCACTATTTGCTCAATGACAAAGCAAACAGCTCTCTCAGAGCTGCTCAGCCCTTCAGCTGAACCCAGAGGCAGTGAGTGCCAAGCACTGCGCCCAGCAGGCAGTGGGGCACGTGCCCCACACCTGGGGCCACCCTGCCCAGCCACGCTGCACACAGCAGGAGCTGTGTCCCAGCTGTCTTGCCCATGATGGGGCACAGCTGGCAGCCCAGATGTGAGGACAGCAGACACAATGCTACTGCAGTTTTTGCAACAGCGAGTCCCCAGTGCCAGCACACCTCCCATGCACCTTCCAGCAGAGCAGCCAGGTCCCCATCAGGAGAGCCTGGTTTCCTGGCTGCTGCTGCTGCAGCTCCTGCTCCGTGCAGGGAGCACAGCCCAGCGCCCGGGCACCAGGCCTGAGCCCCACAGCACACACCAGAGCCCTTCTGGAGGAGCCATCCCCAGCTCATGCCCATGGGACCCTCCAGGCCATGTGAGTTTCCAGGAGACATTCCTAAACCTCTCAGCTGGAACAAAACCCAAGCACTCCACTGGCCACTCCATCCCACAGGGGACAGCAACACGCTCCCAGTGCAAAGTATATTTAGCTCAGAAAGGCTGAGCTGTTTGCTATAGCCAAGGAAGCATAAATAAATTACAGTGTTATCAATAATGCAATCCACACTGTCCATGCCACACTCCGAAGGGAAACCACTGAGCTGAGCAGGAGCCACGCTGGGGGCCAGCAGAGCACAAGGGGAGCAGGAGGACACGGTGCATCCCAGTGCTCCATGCTGGCATGGGCACTCAGAGCTCCCACTCATGCCCAAACTCCCATTAGAAAACACAGCTCCGCAGAAATTGCTGTTTCGACAGTTATCAACCTCCAGTGTCGTGAGATTACAACTACAAATGTTTGGTCTGACTTGAGATTTTTCAGCCTGGAATGTCAGTGAAATGAAGAGTGGTGCTCTGGCATGTCAAAACATTTAATTTTGATTGAAGATCTTGGTATTCTCAATTCTGTTATGTGCTGTTTGGAATTTTGTGGATTTTTTCACTAACATTTTTTAGCTGCTTTTGCCTTTTGGGTCTGAGCTGGGACCTGAAAGAACTGTCAAATTCCCCAGTCTCTCGGACTGTCAATCTCAGTTGCAAGAGTTGATGGCTCCTCTGTGAGGGCCCACGTCCCTCCCTGTAGGCACATGTGGGCATGGGCCATCATCCACATGGGAGCTTCATCGAGGTTCTCCAGCACAGACACACCACAGGAACAGCTCCCTGCTGCCTTCGCAGACACTCTGCCTGTCACAGGAGCTATGGACGTTTTCCTCCTCCTCCGTTAAAGCCCCATGTGGAACTGTGCCCCTCCAGCCAGGGTCCAGTGCCCCACGGTGCTAATGAGGCGAATGAGCAGCCCCCCAAGCGCTCTGCAGCAAAAGGGATGGCTGATGAGCAGGAGGAGGAGATTGCTGCTTCCCTGCCTTGGCACCCACAGCATGGACAAACTCACGACTCCAGAATGGGACTGGTGCAGCTCATGCTCTCCTGCGAGCCCCTGAGCCTCTGCTCGTGGTGGTGGGGCCATCTGACCCATCCTGTGCCCCTCGAGCCACCCCACGAGGCAGCTGGCTCTCGGTGCCGCTGCCCTTCCAGAGCAACGGAGCATCCTTGGCTGCAGAATCTGGGATCTCTCCGGCGGCGCTTTGCCTCCCAGAAAGGCGGGTAGCTTCACAGCTCTGGCAAAACAGCATCCGTGACGAGCCCACTCTCCGAGCTGGGGCCGGACCGGGCCCCGCCGGCTCCGAATCCCCCCTCAGCCCGCAGGGACCGCGGCCGCCGCTGCTGTCGGAGCCACCGGTAACGGGGCGCGGGGCAGAGCCGGCCCCGTTAAACTCACTGCAGGGGCCCTCCCGAGCCCCGCTCCGGCCCCGGGGAGCCCCGGCGGGGGACCGGGACACGCGGGGACCGGGCAGCGACGCGAGGCGGCCGGGCGGAACCGGGAGAGCCGGACCCCACGGCGGAGCCCCGGACCGGCACCCGGTGCCAGCGGCACGCCGATCCCGGCGGCTTCCCGGCCCCCGGCGGGACTCAGCGTCCCCTCGGAGCGGCGCTCGGCACCGCGGCGGGAGCGGCCCCGGGGCCGCCGTCTCGTTCCCCCCGCCAAACTTTCCGCACGTACCTGCCGGTGGCCTCGGGGCGGGCGGGGGCCGACGCTGCCCATGGCCGGGGGCCGCTCCGCTCCGCTCCGCCGGGTCAGCGCCGCCTCCGCGGGCCGCAGCCGCCGGGGGCCGCGGGCATCGCCGGGCGGCGGCGGCGGCGGCGGCGCGGGGCTGGGCGGGGGCGGCGGGCGCGGAGCCGAGCGCAGCCCGGCGGGGCCGGGGCCGGCGGGAAGGGGCGCAGCGCCGCCTGCTGCTGCCGCCGCTGCTGCCGCTGCCGCTGCCGCCCGGGGACCGGCCGCGATCCCGGGCTGGCACCGGCACCGGCTGCGCACCGAGCCGCTCGCCGCCGCCCCCGCCCGCCAGGGCGCTGCCCCGCCCCGGTCAGCCCCGGCGCCCGTCAAGGCTGTCAGGGAGGAGGAACAGGAAGAGAGAATTAACGGGAAAAATTATTTACACACACAACCCCTTTCCATCCCCCCCCAAAAAACAAAGTGGGGGGTGATGGCCCCCGTGAGCTCCGAGGGATATGGAACGGTCCAGGGATGGACAGATGGAGAGACAGACAGCCGGATAACTGGCCCTGGCATTCTCCTTCTCAAAAGATGAGCCTGGTCAGAGCTAATTTACCCCAAAACTAATTTTCCCTGCCAAAAAAGGTGTGATGGATCCGTGAGCACAGAGGGGTGCTACATGGTGTGGGGATAGACAGACAGACAGATGGACTCACTCCTGCAGCCCTCTTCTCCTCAAAATGTGAGCCTGTCTTTGGTGTAAAACCACCAGAACTCAGCTTTCCTGGAACTGAAATAGCATCACCAGCCTGGATCGGGCTCTGCAGGAGACTGTCCCTGACACAGGGGATTCCAACACCGGGGACCACAACACCAGCCTGGGCCAGCTCTTTCCCCAGGGCAGCTCCATGTTTGTCCAGAAACTCTCTCCTGCTGCCCCCAGGGCACAGCTTGCGCGGCTCCTCCCGCAACAGGCGGCAACAGGCTTTAAAGCACCAACAAACAGCAAGGGCAAAGGTTGAATTTTCACAGCTGCTGCCAAGAGTTAGACCCGCAACCTCAGCACAGCTGAGATGAGAGGCTGAAGTTCCAGGCACTCATTTTTGTTGCTTTGCTCAAAGCTATTTGCACATCGATGAAAGCCTTTGGTGTCTGAAGACAGCTCACTGCTTACACCTGGACTTTCCACCCCACACTCAGCTGGAGTCATTTCCAAGGCCAAGCTGAGTTAGAGGTGCGCAGCAGCTCTTCAGACAACTCACACGTGGGCAGTTTGCAAATCCCTCAGCCCTTTGCCTTCCGTGGGATCCCAAAGCCTTTGTGCATGCCCCCTCCCTTGGCCAGAAGCCAGCCCTTGGGAAGGACACTGCGGCCAGTGCCCCGTGGGCACCACTGGCAGCTCCTCAGGGCACCAGACAGAGGGCACGGCAGAGTCCTGAGGGGACCCACCAGCTCCTGGGGCGCCCACGACCCCCAAAGTGCACACAGGTATCCAGGGGAGAGTACCCCAGCCCCTGACAAGATTAGGTTACTCTGCTATTTTGCCCTAGGAAACTGAGTTCCTTTTCTCCCTTTATAGAGTCAAAATTGCCATATGTTAAATTCCAATTAGTTAGACTTGGTTACTCAAAAGAAAAAGGAAAAGCTCTACAAGATTAACCCGAACCCCAGTAATAAGATATTAAGGAAATACAAGCATCTCATTCTTCAGATCAGAGGGTTTTAATAATAATGACAAAAATCAATATGAAACTAAATTAAATCTGCTGTTTATATTCATCAGGTAATTTGATTGAGAGCCTGCCAATGCAGGTCTCTAGTGCTGCGAGAAGTAAATACAAACACACTACTTTCAGATCACAAAGTTTTAGTGGAACAATCAAGAGCAAATTAAATCAGAGCTATTTTCCACACAAGCCAAATTCCAATTAAATTAGGCCAGATTATTTAATAAGGAAGTGTAAAAAACTCTAGCTCTTTATTGATGTATGATACAGAAATATAAGCTTCTTGCTTTCCAGATCACAGCATTTAAATGCAGTGGAGGAATTAAGACTTCAGTAAAACTGGTTTAATTTAAATTCAGCTGGAAGTGAACATAGAAATTCCTTCTCATCATCATCCTGACTTCTTATTGAGTGTCCAGCAGCACTGGATGAGGGCACCCAAGTTTCCAGTATCCATAACAAGCCAAGTTTGGAAAGAAACTGCCCAAGAAAACCCTAGCAACACTTCCTGATGTATCCTTAGTGATAAATCCTGCTCCCATGTAAGAAATTTGTCACATGCCTGGAATCTTTCTGTACCTTCCAGGTGAGCAACCAGCATTTTTTCTTTTTCAGGATGAAAACACATGGACTGGGGCTTGGGCTACAAGAAGGGTTAGGGACAAATGGTCATGCAAAGGCAGATGCATGCGTTAGAAGGCTTCTAATGCTGAGTGCAATCACCTTATCTGCAGCTGATAATAGGCAGAAGGGTAGAAATTATTTTATTAAAGCTGGAAAAAGCAGAACTCCTGACATTTTATTCCTGGGGAAGATTTATCACACCCTGTTTTCAGTGGATCGCTGAATGATCTTAATTCAGTTTAAGTTTATTTATTTCCTTCATCTGATGAGGCCACAGTGCCTCCAGGCTGTCTCAGCACTGAGTACCAGAATCTGAGGATTTTGTTCCCTTTTCAAAAGGTTTTGCTGACAACAGGGGGTTTCAGCGCAGATTCCCAGCCTGCCAAAACAGCAGTCCAGGCATAGGATCTCTGGGCACTGCTGCAAAAGCAGGCAGAGGTCCTGCTCCCTGCATCCTCTGGAATGTGGGTCTGAGCATCCAAATTAAAAAGTAAGTTCCCCAAAGGCTCCGTAAATTCCAGTGAGTGTTACTGTAATACATTTATTCTTCGCCTTCTGTATTTCTACTGTCAGGTAATATTAAATGAGACCAGGAGGCTCCTGAAGACTTTGAGAGCAGAATTGTAAATGAAGATCCCTTGAGAGATATGAAAATTGTATGGAAGACTTTGAAGCTGCAGACGGGGAAAAGCCAAGTGACCCAAGGAGGTTAATGTGCCCCCTTCCCCCCTCCCCTTTGCAGCAGGGAAAGGGTAAAACCCTCTGAGAATCTGCACCAAATCCAGGTCATCTGCTCTGCAAAACAATGATGTGCTCACCTGCGGAGAGGTCACAGAGATACCCAGAGCAGCAACGCTCCAAAGGCTTCTCTGCACTCCAGCAGAAACAGACAGGGAATAAAGATGTGTGCCTGCAATCAAATTATCCCTTCAAAGAAATAACAATAAAAGATGAACTTCCCAATTACAGGGGACGTACAAACCTTGGAAACCATTAAGAACCACTTCTTCTGTTGATGAATTATCCAGAGTGCACAGAGCTATTTGCTGAGCTTCACTGTACTATGCTAATTATAAATTAATATATTACTCATTACACAGTCAGGCTCTACAGTCAACTAATGCAGTGCTGCAAAGAACCTGTTTTAAAACATCCTCTGGTACTTTTATGATCTAGATGTTTAATTTACTTCTATTCTGGCTTAAATGCAACCAACATGCCATTCTTTCACAAAGAAATATCTCTGGCTCCATCCTATCTCCTCTGGGGCTCAGCAGCATAGATGAAAGAGGCAACTTAGAAAGGCTTTTTTGATGCTAGGCAGTTACATGAGAAATTAACTAAAATAGCAAAATTTAAGACCAATTCCTGTGTTACTGATTTTTAAATCACTGTTTATCATGGCAGCATGCTGGAGTGCTCCACCTGGAGCTGTGTCCAGGGAAGGTGAGGACCTGACACCCCCATGCTCAGGGGTAGCTTTGGGTGAGATGGGGAGACAGGAAAGCATGAACATCCCAGGCAGGACCCCCAGAGGGATGGGGAGAGCGAAGGGCAGAGCTGCTGGCACCTGAAGTGGCTGTTTATTGCCATTAGTCTGACTCAGTCTACAACATCTGCATCCCCAGGCCTTGTGCCAGGCAACCTTGTGAAGAGGAACATCAGCCTGCAGATAAGGAGAAAACTTTACGTGGATCTGTCTGGCAGGATGAATAGGGGGAAATGGAGCCCTCTTTCTTGGAAAACAGTCTTTAACATGGCATTGTTTCAGGGAGCATTCCTGCAGAAGCGTGTTTATTTGTCAGACCGTTCTTTCCATGCTGTGCTCAACATAACGGAAACAACAAATACCGAGCAGCGTCACAGAAGTCAGTCTGGAAACTGCCAATTCATTCTTTCCAAGGAAAGCATCCTGGTGACTCAGCAGTACGGGGCAGATTGGCAGTCCCACAGCGGGGAGACACATTCCCTGGAGAATCCAGTGATTTTCAGCCTTAATAACACGGTGATTTTGCACTCAGAATGTCTAAGAGCATCGCACGCATGACCAGCATCTGGACAGGGATGCTGTGAGGGGAAGGCATCAGGAGCTGAGGAGGGGAGCCATGAATGCTGGAGAGGAGCTAGAGGGGTGTTTGCCTCAGGCTGGAAGGGTTGGTTTGGAAGGAACCTTAAAGATCCAGAAGGGTCCTTAACTCCCCCAGAAGGGACCTTAAAGATAACCTAGTTCCAACCCCCACCGTGGGCAGGGATGCTGCCCACTAGACCAGGTCCTAAAGGGTACTGAAAGAGCTATAAAGTGTACTGAAGACCTTAAATCTTGGGATTAGAGGGTGGAAATACAGGTACTACTGAGTCACTTCTGTACTGTGATCCTAATAATCTGGTACAGTTTGAAGATCTCTGGTTGAAGATGACTAAAGCCTGGAGGGCTTCTCAATGCTGCTTCTATTTGTAACTTACAATGCAAAATCCCCGTGTTGACAGGAATCAGTGGTTCTTCTGTGAAACTGAGGCACTGGGGCACACGAATTTTAAGAAACAGCCTCAATTTTCCTTTACAGTAGGCAAGCATTTTTTAATCGGTTTTTTTGCTGTCACAGGAGGCAGGGAGGTGCTAAGGTCACGCTGTGCGAGCGATGGTGTTTAAGCTGGCGACTCTTCCCCTCCCAGCCAGGGAGGGTGTGTTGTTGTGCATCAGCTCAATCCGCATCCTGCTCACGCTGGAGCGCAGCATCCTGGGTGAAAGGGAGGGAGAGGTTCAGCGCTCAGCGCTCTCACGGCGCGTCCCTGCTGCTCCGCAGGCCGCTGGTTATTAATAGCCCGGGACGGCCGCGCGTGGGCTGAGGAGCGCGACAGGGGGGACAGAGCGCCTGGCGCCGGACGGCAGTGCTGTCCCGGAATAGGTAGCTCCGCTGGAATCTCGGGACGATCCAGTTAGGAAACTCACCTGTGGGCAGAACGCGTGGCCATGGCCAGCCCGTCCCCGCGCAGCCCCACCTCCAGCCGGGAAAAGACTTTCCCAGAGCATTTCCTGCGCCGGGATGGCCGGTGTCCTCGGGGCTCCCGGCTGGGCGCCGGTCCCTCGCCGGGAGAGCTCGACCTCCACCTCCGCCGGGCTGCGGGATAACGGCGGGGCTCGTTACCCGGGAGGGCTCGTTCTCCTCTGGCTGCGGGATAACGGCAGGGTTCATTACCCGGGAGGGCTCGTTCCCCGCCGGCTGCGGGAGATGCGCGTACCCGCTGCGGCTGAGCTGCCGCGCCTGCTTCCCCCCCCTTGCCGCGGCGGGGGGGAGGCGGGGCGGGGCGGCGGGCTCGGCTCGGCTCGGCTCGGCTCCGCTCGGCCCGGCGCGGGATGCTGCTGCGGGTGCGCGCTGCCGTGGCGCAGCTGGCGGCGGGGCTGGGCGCGGGGCCGGGCGCGCAGCCCCCCGCAGAAGGCCGGGGCGGCGGGGCCGGGGCCGGGCGCGGGTCGCCGCCGCCAGCCGCGTTCTGCCGGCCGGCCTTCCTGCAGCTGACTCCCGAGGAGCTGCGCCGCGCCGACGACCACGCGGGGCGGGCGGTGCAGAGCCCCCGCGACGGGCGCCGGCGGCTGCCCTGGAGCACGGGATACGCAGAGTGAGCGGGGCCGGGAGCGGCGCGCGCGGCCCGGGAGGGCGGGAGGGATGGCGCCGCTCGGCACGGAAGCTCGGGCGCGAAAGTGGGTCGCGGCGGGCGGTGAGCTGCGGCTGGCCCCCTTCAGCACCAGCAGCAGCAGCAGCAGCGAGGAGCGGGCGCTGTGGGTGCCCGTGATGGGAGCGCGTCCGCCCGGAGCTGCGCTCTCACCCATCCCCGAGGGGTTTAGGTTCTTCTGCCCGTTTTGTTTTCTGCGCTTTCTGCACAACACCCGCTGTCACCGATGGGTACCGAGGGCGAGGAAGCTGCGGCGCCTCGTGGGGAGGACTCGTGGGGAGCAGGGAGCTGGGGATTTCTTGGGAGTGAGACTCCTTGAGACTTCCCCTTCAAGGACCTGACTGTCTTCTTCTTTCACCTGACTGTCACTTCTTTCATTCACTGAAAACTGCGAGTTTCAGCCCTAACTGAGGGGGAAGGTCAGACTTTGAAGGCTTTTGCTGCTTATTGCTGTCAGCCCACTCCCGCAATTCCATCCTCAAGCTGATCTTCCCGAAATCCTAGAGAGCTTTATGGGATATTGATTTTCCCTTGGAGATAGTGGGGTAGGAGCACCCAGAGTGAAAAAGTCTCTTTTTTGGTGTCCCAAGAGTTCTTTCTGCAAACCACTTGGGAAGTCTGCCCGAAGAAAAATCACCCTGCTGTGTTTACAGCTTCTTCCTGTGAGCACGTTCTGCAATCTAGACCTGAAATCTGCTGTGTCAGCTCAGGCTGGGAAAAGTCACTGTGAATCTTTTTGCAAAAGTTCTGCTGGTTTCATCACCATCACCTTCTCCCGTCCTTCCCTGAGCCCCCTGCTCCCCCTAAGAGGTGATGGGACATGGACGAGGCTGTGATTCTCTCTGTGTGTCCCAGGGGTGTATATCTGAGGCTGGTACAGGCTTTGGGGCAGTTATTCTGCCTGGGGCAGTCCAGGGACCTTCAGCAAACCCAGTTTGTTTCTGGTCACCTCCCCTGGTAGGTGTGTGGACAACTGCTCCTCCCTGGACCCAGCTGTGGGTGAGACTCAGTGCTACTCCTGGCCGAGGTCAGCCCACACAACTGGTCTGAGACACCTGGGACAGGACAGGAGCACCTGTGCAGGGCATCCTGGCATCTCTGGGGGCACGGGGACATGAGTGGAGGGTTGGGGGTAAGAGGTGCTGGGGGATGGCATTTGCTGGAGCAGGATGTGAAAGAAAGGGTCTTTACACGTTTTTTCCTCCTGGCAGGGTGATAAACGCAGGGAAGAGCCAGCACAACGAGGACCAGGCGTGCTGTGAGGTGGTGTTTGTGGAGCAGAGGCCCAGCCCGAGGGGCTGCCTGTCGGCCAGGGAAGGCAGCGGGGAGCTGGACGGGGTGAGAGCCTGGTGCTTCACAAGCAGGGCCACGACGGGGAAGGTGCCCAGCGGCAGGGCATGAGATGGGGCACGTGGCCATGTGTGCACACTGGGGGTTCCCTTAGTTCGTGGCCCTTCTCTTCCCATGCTCCATCCCTGTGTGGCTTCACCAGGGCTGGCCCAGGCAGAGCCGTGGCCCCCGTGCCCTGGTGGGCTGCAGAGGTGGCTGCTGTGCTGGCACCGTGCTGCCTCCGAGGGCACGAGGCGTCTGACGCAGGGCTGGGCTCCAGCCAGGGCTCAGCTGTGTCCAGGCGCCCTTGGTCAGCTGCCCACACTGCTCCTGCCTGCACTGAGACCCGTGAGACTCATGTCACTGTCCTCAGCTGGCGGCCAGCTGCTCTCAATTCCCCGTGCCATCTGCTTCCTTGCAGGCTCATTTAGCTTTCCCTCCTCTCCCTGCAGGGCAGGAAAGGTTTTTATTTCCACTACTGGGCGTTGTTTGATGGCCACGCAGGCAGCGGTGCTGCTGTCATGGCATCCGAGAGGCTCCACCTGCACATCTGTGAGCAGCTCCGGGAGCTTGTGGAGATCCTGCAGGACCCCTCCCCACCTCCCATCTGCCTCCCACACGACACACAGACCGGTTCTGCAGACCCAAACCAGATGTCCAATGCAGAGGACCGTGGGGAGGTCCCCAGCGATGCTGTGCCACGGTTTCACCTGGAGAAAGCAGTGTCCCGTGAGAGCCTGGTGATCGGTGCCATTGAGAATGCCTTCAAGCACATGGTGAGGATCCTCTGCCTGTGGGATCATCCAGAGCACCCCCTGAGAGCCCCTCTTTGCTGTCTTGTCTGCATCAGCTTGACCCCACTGGTAAAAGGCAGCTCTGGGGACTGCAGGGAGGGCTCCAAGCATGGTGGTCTCAGAGAGGGCTCTGTGCTGCTCTGCATTTTGAGCTTTCAGAATGCAGAGGCTTTGGGCTCTGTGTGGTGCAGGGGGCTCCCCTACACTTTGTCCCAGGAGGCCCAGCTGCTCCCCTCCTGTCTTGCTCTTCCCTGCCCCAGTGAAGCCACATGCCTGGCTGCCCCACAAGCCCTGCAGGCACTCCGTGGCAGTGTGGGGAAAGGTGCCCTGGCTGGAGCTGTGCTATCAGGTGCTCTTTGGGGCTGCCCCTGCCCTGTCTGTCTCCCCAGGACGAGCAGATCGAGCGGGAGCGCGCATCCCAGCACCTGCCCGGGGGCTGCTGTGCCCTGGCTGCCATCTACCTCATGGGCAAGTTCTACGTGGCCAACGCTGGTGACAGCAGGTACAGCCCCGCAGGGCAGCCCCCAGCTCTGCCCAGGAGCGTGGGGTGGTGCCACAGGGATGCTGGTGAGGAGCACCCAGCTCCGTCCCTGTCCAGGGGAGGGTGGAGGTGGCAGAACTGGGCAGGGTCACCCCCTGCCTGCTCCATGCCCCAGGGAAAATGTGCTCTGCTGTGATCTCTGTGCTTGCCAGGTACACGGACAGGGCTGTAGAATTGCCTCCCAAAATCTGGGATGGGCTCCCTTCTTTCCTAACAACATCTCTGCTACCCAGATGGCTCTGGGCACCCTGGCCCCTGCTGCTGGCACTGGCCTGGGCTGCAGCTTGAAGAGTGAAAATTGCACTCAGCAAAGCTTTCAAAAATGTGCAAGAAGTCATTTTAGAGTACACTTCATACCAATGACCTGTTTCAGGAGCAGGACACAAATCTGTGTTTAGTGGGAGCTTGGAGCCCAAGCACTTTATTTGCTGTGTGTATTTCCAGGATGGGCTACTCTAACTGCCCCTGAGTGTGCCCACAGCCCCAAGCAATGGCAAAAGGTCCACCTGACACTAAAGGTGACACTGCAGGTGAAGCTGGTTTGAACTGCCCTGTATTTGTCATTGGATCAGAGAATGGTTTGGGTAGGAAAGGACCTTACAGCTCATCTTGTTGCACCCCCTGCCATTTCAGACACCTCCCACTAGAGCAGGTTGTCCCAAGCCCTGTCTGACCTGGCCTTGAACGTTTCCAAGAATGGGGCAGCTACAGTTGCTCTGGGTATTTACTGCAGGTTGCCTTGTCCTCAGCAATGTCAGACCAGCAAATACAGGCTCTGGTCAATTTTCTGAGGCTGGATGTGCTTCTAGCTCTGGGACAGAGCAGGAGGAGAGCCCTCGTTCTGGGTGCAGGTCCCGCTCCGTGGCAGCAGCAGCCAGGCACCAGCCATGCAGGATGTCAGCGTGCACAGGGTGCTGAGGCTGTGCCTCTGGGGAGCAGCCTGTGCTGCCTTCCCAGCGTCAGACACGGCCAGAGCTGAGCCCAGCCCGGCCCTGCAGCATTGCAGGAGACTCACAGCCACCAGATCAGTGTTGGGGATCCTTGGGCCTACCATGACATCCAGAAACATCTCATAATCAGACCTTTATGTTTTCTTGAGACATCAAACTGTAAGAGCAGACCCAGCAGCAAGTGGCAGTGCTGGTTGGGGTGGGCACGTGTAGCTCTCCTGCTGCAGGCAATTTCTGCCCCTGCTGTGTGCAGCTCCCCTCTGAAGGCAGCCTTCGTGCTGCTCATTTTCTAACCATATTCTGTCCTTTGATTTGGTCTGCTTCACTCCCCTCTGCCCCATGTTTCTCTCCCATTTCCCCTTCCTCCCTGCCCTTCTCCTGCACAGGAGGGGGAGATGCCGTGCCCTGCCCAGGGGCAGCAGTGAATCCAGGAAGCAGCCCCCACCTCAGGCTGGGAGAGGGGGGCAGCAGAGGAGAAGGGGTTGCACCATCCTGGGAACCAGCCCTGGAGAGCCAGGCTCAGCTCAGCCAAGTCTCCTTCTCTCTAATCTCATCCTTCCATGTTTCATTGCAGGGCCATTATCATCCGTAATGGGGAAATCATTCCAATGTCCAGGGAGTTTACTCCAGAGACAGAGAGGCAGAGGCTGCAGTTTTTAGTAAGAAAGACCTTTCTTCTAACCTCATTCCTGCTGAAACACCTCCTGGCCTCTTCCCAGTGCCCTGTGCTGCCTGCTGGACTGCTGCCATGGCTGGGACCTGCTGCTGGCCCTTGTCCGTCCCAGGCTGCTTCCTGGGATGGGACGAGGCCCTGGGATGCAGGGAGCTGGCATGGGGGCATCTTGTGGCTGGCAGAGCCCTGGTTTGCTGTGTCAGAGGAGCTGCAGTGCTCCTGCCCAGTCCTGCTTTCTTCCCTGGCTGCTCCCTGGAGAGTCGCAGCTGATGTGTGCCAAGGTTTCTGTCCTTGGCCCTGACAGCTCCCCGTCCCTCTCCTGGATGAACCCCCTGGTGCCACCCAGGGAGACTCTTTAAGGTTATAAAGACCTCTCTGAGGGCAGCACAGGGGAGGAGGAGTTTGTGTTGGAGAAGGTCTTGCTGGATGAAATTTCCTGGCTTGCAATGTACTTGGAAAAACACTGAGGCGTTTTTTCTGGAATCTATTTTTGAATGACCGAGAGGAGGGAACTGCTGTGATCAGAATCCTCCCCAGCTGGCTGGAGGGACAGGGCACAGCTTGGGGACAGGCACAGGCTGCTCTGCCACGTGATGCTGAGGCTGCAGTCAGGGCTCCCCCAGAGTGGGCTGGGGTCTCCATGCCTCTGCCCCCACCCCCTGCCATCCCATCTTCCCAAGAGATCTCCTCTTCTCGTCCTGCTTCTCTTTCCCCTTCAGCATTTTCCAGCACTCCCTGTTCCTGGTCCCCTCCACACTGTGCTCCATGAGCTGCCCTGGCTAGGGCTCTGTGGTGCTGCTTGTCCCTTGTCACGGTCACAGCTGGGACTCTGTTTCAGAAAAGACCCATCACTCTTTTCCTGGGGTGAGTGCCATGCCCTGCACTGAGCCTGGGATCCTGGGAGCTTTGCAGCTATGACTCCTTCTGGGCAAATTCCAGCTTCTCCTGGAATTTGCTGGGGTTTGATTGTTTGATCCCCTTTGGAGGCCTTTCTTTCCCCAAACTCTCTGTGCAAAAGCTTCACCCTCTTTCTGAGTGCTGGCATGGCTGTCCTCAGCTCCAGTTTCCCCTCTGGCTTAGCACGGGTGGGTGGTTTGAAGCTGCTTTACCAGCACCCATTCACGTGGCTCCAGAGCAGCCGAGGTTATCCCACCATGGGATGTTGTAGCCAAAGTCCCAGAGGATGGTGGATCCTGCTCTGGGCAGGGCTGGATCCGCAGCTCCTGCTCTCCCAGCCCTGTGGCTGAGCCAACACTCCTTCCTGCAGGCACTGCTGAGGCCCGAGCTGCTGGGGAAGGAGTTCACCCACCTGGAGTTCCCCCGCAGGATCCAGCCCAAGGAGCTGGGGAAGAAGATGCTCTACAGGGACCAGAACATGAATGGCTGGTAACCCCCAAGTGGCCCTGGGGTCCTGCTGTGGTGGCTGCTCATCTCTGGCATGCCATCCCACGGGCAGGAGGCTCTGCTGCGCTGGGCACCCAGGTGCCAGGTGGTCAGAGGAGGTGCTGGAAGCTTCACCTGCTGACACCTCGTCTCTGGCTTATTTTAACCAGGGCTTACAAAAAGATAGAAGAGGATGACCTGAAGTTTCCACTTATCTTTGGGGAAGGCAAAAAGGTAAAGTACTGTGGCAGAAGCTTGGCAGGGGTTGTTTGCTGCCTGCTCTCACTGTTTTGGGGGATTTCAGCCCATTTTTGGTAGTGCTGTCCTCATCAATTCTCCGCTGGGAATGTAACTGGAAATAAAGCTGCCTAAAGTTCTCTTTTGATTCCACCTTTCTCCAGGCTCGAATGATGGCCACGATCGGGGTCACGAGAGGCCTGGGAGACCACGACCTCAAGGTGTTCAGCTCCAACATCCACATCAAGCCTTTCCTGTCCTGCTTCCCAGAGGTAAGCCTGGCTGCCAGCAGCTTCCCACCCAGGGGCCCCTGCAATGGCCAGAGCCCCGTGGCAGGCCCACATCCACGAGATCTGGCCCAGGGCAGCAGGAGCCCCCTCTGCCCCTCTGCCTCTCACCCTCGTGCCTTGCCCTGTCCCTGCCAGGTCAGGGTTTACGACCTCACGCAGTACGAGCACTGCCCTGACGATGTCCTGGTGCTGGGCACGGATGGGCTCTGGGACGTCACCAATGACGAGGAGGTGGCTGCTGTGGTGATGGAGGTGCTGAGCAGCTACGAGCCCAACGACCCGTGCAGGTGAGCTGCAGGTGGGCAGGGGGCCGGGCACGCTGTGCACTCCACCACCTCCCCTTGGCCTGGCTCCTCGGAGCAGTGCTGCGGCCACGCGTCCCTCTGGGCTCTGCAGAGTGCATTGCTCCCCTGGATGTGCATATCTGAGCCTGCATCTCTCCATGGCACCCCTTCCTGCAGCTCTGGCTTGTCCCTCCTTGCCAGGATGCTGCGTCGGGGGTCACTGCTGAGCCGTGCTCTGCTGTGCCTCCAGGTACACCATGGTGGCCCAGGAGCTGGTGGTGCGCTCACGGGGGGTGCTGAAGGAGCGTGGCTGGCGCCTGGCCAATGACAAGCTGGGCTCTGGTGATGACATCTCTGTTTTTGTGATCCCCCTGGGTGGCCCCGGCAACTACACGTGATGCTGAGTGAGCCTGGGGCAGCTCACCTTGCCTGCATGGAGACACCTGCAGTGGGACACTGGGGCTGCCTCAGGGCCACACCTCCTCTGAGCACTTGTTTTTGAGCCAGCTGCAAGAAGAGCAAGAATCGTGGAGCCTCAGTCTGTGCTCCTGTCCAGAGCATCCCCCTCCACGTGCTTGCATCCCAGTCCCAGGCGGAGAGGCCTTGGACAGAGTGTGAACACTGGGGTTGAGGGGTGTTTTTATGCTGCTACTTTCTCAATGCTGTGAAAAGCCTGAAGGCTCCTTGGCTCCTCAGCATGTCCTTTGCCTCTTGCCGTGGCTGTGCTGGCTGCAGCCCTGTGTGAGAGCCATGGGGCTGCTGGGGCACTCATACCTGCTGCAGTCACCCCCTGTCTCCTGCCCTGGGATGCTCTGGCCAGTGACACTGAAGCTGCTGCTGCAGGTGGGAGCTGGGGCTCAGGTGGGATGTGACTGGGAGTAAAGGCAGCTGGGCCCTGCTAAGCCTGGCACAAGTCCAGTTGTGGCCCCACAATGGCCATCCCAGCCTTGTATTTCCCATTTTCAGCCCCTCACACCTTCCTCTGTCGTGGACTTTGCCTCAGTCTCCAGGCTGGGAGATTGGAGCAGGGACCAAGCTCTGCTGTGCACCCAGAGCCCTGAGCAGGGACAAGCAATTGCACCAGCACTGGCTGTGCCACAGGTTCTACCCCATCCTCTCTTGGCTTGGGGCACTGCAGTGCTTCTGGAGCCAATTATTTATTAACTGCAGAGCTGAGCTGGAAAATGTCTGAATCCTTTCGTGGTGTGGGGAGCCTATGAATGTATGTGTATATTTTGGAGTGGTTCTGAGTTAGCAGCCTCACACAGAGCAGCCCTATTCAGGTGAGCTTAACAGCTTAACTGCACTGGATCTGCTTAGCCTCGGGCTGGGAACCCACAGTAAAAGCAGCTTGGTGTGACCAGGGCAGGGAAAGACAGCTCCCATGTTTTCCTTAATGGTCTCAGAACTGGTGCAGAGGGGAGCTGAGCAGTTGATGTCTGCACCGGATTTTTGCATCATGCATGTCTCTAACCTGGAGCATCCATTTCCCAGACCTCTGCAGAGTCCTGAACTGTGAGGGATTGTCCCATCCTGGCCCTGTGGGGATGGGGAGAGCTGGGCCATGGTCCCTTGCTTGGGAAAGGCTCCGTGGCACCATCCTGTCACTGGGTGCAGCCAGCTCTTGTCAAGCGTCACCTCTAGTGAATGTTATTTGTGTCCTGTAACCAGCGAGATGTAAATAAACTGGGTGCACACAATGGAAAGTGAAAGTTACACACGAGATACGGACCTGTTGGCACCCATGCTGCAGGGAGTGGTGCTGGGGCCGGGAGCCTGTCCTTGTGTAGCACTGTGTGTTTAAATAAAGATTTTGCCACTCGCAGTCCTACTTCAAAGTCTTTCTTTGCAGAGCTCCTGCAAAGACGACTTACCGAAAAGCCAATTAGCTCTGATTAATGTACGTAGGCAGGCAAACAGGCAGAGCCATGTGTGCGCCGTCCATCTGCCCCCGGCGCTGCTCAGAGCCCGTGCAGCGTCCATGCAGCGGGCAGCGGGAGGCACCGGTGCGCTGCCAGTGTCAGCGCGGTGCCCATCCAGGGGGCAGCGGGAGGCACCGGTGCGCTGCCAGTGTCAGCACAGAGCTCAGGGGACCCGGAGCCCTGGGTCCGCTGGGAGGCAGCAGGATGGCCAGGCTGCGGGAACAGGAGCTCCACACGCGGAATGGGAGGGAGAAAAGGCCGATGGCTGTCCTGGCTGCGGGGAGGCGGTGGGGCAGGCTGAGGACTGCCACTGTCCCTCCCCGGGAGTTCAGGCAGCAGCCGCTTCTGCCCCGAGGGCGGGCTGCCTGCTGGAAACATCCCCGCGTCCCTCCGACCGGCACCCCTGATGCTCCCTTCACACTGCTTGCCCAGCCCTGTTCCCCCGGCACATTCCTTTTCACGCTGGTGGCTGAGAACTGGCTCTGCTTTTCCAGGTCACTGCCCGGCTGTTGGATAAGACAGGGAGGCAGTGGCTGCTGCATTTAAAGCTTCCTCTGTGGTTCCCTTTTTTACTAAGGAAACATTTCCTTTGGAACCAACTCCTGGCCTGGGGCTTGATAAATAAAGAAAAATAGTCTGCAAGCCCTTAAAATAGCAGCGGTTTATGAGCCTGGGTGCGGGCCAGGCTCCTGGGGCTGCCTTTCCCTGGCGGAGGGACGGGAGCCGTGCCCTGCAGCTGGGTGTCGGGGGGAGCAGCCCCTGGGGTCCCGCGGTGGGCACGGGGAGCCGGGGCACACGGGGGTCACCTAATGCGGGCACAGCCGGGCACAGCCCCGCTCTGCCGGTGCCCCGGGAGGGGACCCTGGGCACAAGGCGTGTCCCTGGCCACCTGTGTCTGTCGCGGTGGGCAGCGGGCTCTGCTGCCGGCCTCACCTGGCACGGGGGGTCGAGGGCAGCAGCTCAGCCCCTCCGGCAGCTGGGGCCGCCCCCTCCCCGCTCGGCCTGGGGAACCTGAACCGGTAAAACGCGCTCGGGGCGGGGGGAACACCGGGGGGCTCCGAGTCCCGGAGCCGGGCAGGGGCAGTGCTGTGAGGGGCTCTGCTCGGCTCGGCACAGCCCATCACGGCACGGCCCATCACGGCACGGCCCCGCTCGGCTAGACGCAGCCCATCACGGCACAGCCCATCACGGCACGGCCCCGCTCGGCTTGGCACAGCCCATCAAGGGACGGCACGGCCCCGCTCGGCTCGGCACGGCCCCGCTCCGCCCTCGGCGGGCGGCCCCGGCCGGGGCGGTGCCCGGAGCCGCGCGGGGACGGAGCCGGGGCCGGAGCGGGACGGGGCAGCGGCGGAGAGAGGTGCGGGTCTGGGGGAGCCGAGCGGGGAGGGGGCGGCTGGGGAGGGGGACAGTGGTGCGGTGGGGGTGCTGGTAAGGAGCGGGGCCGGAGCGGGGGTCTGGCGGAACGGAGGTCTGGGTCACCGCTTGTGATGGGGTCTGAGTTACTGGCGGAGTCTGCAGAAACAGGGCTTTGTGCTGACCGGCGGGCTTGGGGGAGCTGGGATCAGGGTGTACTCGTGGGGTTTGGAGGGATTGAGATCTGGGCTTACCGGTGGGATGCGGGGTTACCGATTCTGGTGAGGTGTGGGCTCAGAGGTGGGGCCGGTGCAGGGGTGGGGGGCCCGGCAGGGCGCTGGGTGGGACAGGGTGGGGTGGGTGTGCCCAGGGTGGGGCGGGGGTCCCTGGGTGTGGCGAGGGGTGGGTCAGCTGTGCCTCAGTCAGGGCGCGTTGTCATTCCTTGAGGGTGGCCTTGGGCTGCGGGTCCCAACTTGCAGTTGTCTCCCAGGCAGTGTCTGACCTGGGGTGAGAGCCCGGGGGCTGCTGCCCCATCCCACATCCCTCCCCACAACCCCACTCCAGCAGTGTCCCCATGTACAGCCTTGCCCATGCAGTGGCCATGCTGTGTTTTCTTCAGAAAGAGGGAAAAAAGTTCCCTTTCCTTACTGCTGAGCTCATTCTTAAACATTTATATTAGGGGGGTTTGTGGGGAGGGGAAATAATTGTGTAATGTCTTAGGAGCAGGGGAGCATTCCAAAAGCATGACTGCGTGGCCTTTTCCAGTGCTAGCAGTCTGGCAGCCAAGCCTCTCAGTGGCCGCCAGCCTCCCTAAACCCAGCCCAGCCTCTCACAGCCCCGGGAGAACAGAACGGGATCCCTGGGCCGCATCTGCATGAGGGGCTGGGACCCAAACCCAGCCCAGGAGAGTGGGACTGGATCCCTGTGTGATGCCTGGGCTGCATCCTCCTGGGGCAGGGGCAGCAGGGCCTGGCTGAGCCCCCCGGGCTGACATCCCTGGGAAAGGGCTCCAGGGGAAGCTGGAGACTGGAGCTGGACGATTGCCTGGCTGTGTGTCATGGGGATCAGTTGCATTTTGTCTCTATTTTGCCAAGTGCTTTTGGTGTCCAAACAGTTTCAGTTTATGTCCAGCTCCTCCTCAGCTCAGGTAGAGGCTGCATAGGATTTTGTGGATTTTCCCTTGCATCCAGGCTCCTGACAGCTACAGCTTCTCTGGGTAAATGTACAAGTGGAAAATAAGCCAAGTCCCTGTCTTCCAACAGGTTCTCAGGAGCGTTTACCCAGGCTCAGCTCCCACCTTGCCGTTTGCATGGGAGAGGTGCACTGACATGAAAAGAAGGAGTTGTGTTAGCAAATGCTGATCGGCGCTGGGGCAGGCAGGCGTTGCCCAAGCACAGGCATCTGCTGAGATTGTGCCGTGTCATTTGGAGCTTTCAGCAAGACACTCGGCTACCGTGAGGCTGGGAAGGCTGTCACTGCTGCAGGAGGTAAAATAAGAACATGGCATGATGTCCTTTGGAAAAGGAGGTAAGGGCAGGCAGCTTTTTCCTCAGTGCTCAAACACTTGTGGTTTGAGCTTTGTTTAGGCTTTCAAATTCTGCTGTTCCAAGTTCCTTTCTCTGTTTTGCTTGTGGATGTTTTTTGTGGGATTTAGCAATGAAAACGAGCCAGCCTGGTCACTCTGCTCCGGGTCTGGGTCTGGACAGTTTCCCTTTGCCACTGGAGTGTGTGTTAAGCCCAGCCTGCCTGGCTGTGCCCAAAGAATATGTCCAAAAAAATGGGCGGGGTCAAAACTTGAGCACTGGGCTGAGCTCCTATTTTGACAATCACTTGTTTGGATATAGCAGGTCTATGTCTACAGCAGGTCTATATCCAGGAGCCCACGCTCTGCCCTGCACATTGCACTTTTCCTTAGCATCTCTGTTTGCTTCCAGCCCTTTTTGGAAATTTTTTCTGCCTTTCAACCTTAATGATTGCATGATTCTGTAGTAAGAGTCCCTTTGGTGCTCGCAGCAGTGGCTGGGACACTTGTCCTGTACTACCTTGGCCATGGCTTAGGTGTCTCAGCAAACGAATTTCCCCACAGTGGGCATTCCCGTGGGGCTTTAATTTGGAAGTTTACTTGTTTTATCATTGTACCAGTGAGTCCAAGCTGCTGAAAGCATTTCTGCAGTGGAGCTGCCCCGCAGCCCTGGGGGTATCTGAGGGGTGTCCCTGCCAAGGGGCTGCTCCCAGCAGGGCTCTCTCCCCCAGCCCTGCCCAGAATTCAGAGCCGTGCCTCTGGCCAGGGCTGTGGTCCCTGGTGTGACCGGTCTGACCAGGGCGGGGCCCTCAGCACTGCTTGGCAATTTCTGCTTTAGAACAAAACCCCTCTGGTACCTCTAGGAAGTCGAGTCTGGCCAAGGAGGTTCATTGAAAGATTTCTGTCCCTGGTAGGAGCCCTTCAAAGCATTCACATCTTTCTCTGCTATTCCTGGGTCCCCTTAGCAGACACTGGGTGATGGACACATCCTGCTGCCAGAGGAATCCCCGATATCCTGCTCAGCAGGAACTGCACATTTTGAGGCACAAAGCTGGGAGAGACCAGCAACACAAGGGCTGCCCTGCAGCCTGGCTGGTTTTATGGTGATGGCTTTAGAGCAGTTGCTTGGAAAGCAGAGCAGAGCAATCTGGGGTCGTGTTGCAGCTTTTTGGTGAGCTGAAGGAGATGCCTGCTCAGGATTTGGCTGGTGCTGGCAGTGGTGGCACAGATTAAGCCCACTGCTGTCCCTGTGGGGGCCCAGCCTGGCTGCACAGCAGGTGCACGGGTGGGCACGGGAGCCCTGTGGGCTTGGCAGTGGGAAATGCTGGCACGCAGCTGCTGCTCCCTTTTGTTTTCTCCATGGATGAGCAGGAGGCATCTCCAGCGGGGCCCTGCCGGTGCTGCTGACACCCAGGAGCTGCCAGTGTGGGTTGCCAGCGGGGCTGGGCAGTGCTGGCTGCTTTGGGGTGCTTGGCTCCCCCCTGCCTTGCTGCCCACGCTGGGGGATCAGCCCTGCACACGGGGGCCTTGCTGCGTCAGGTTGAGCTTCTCATCCACCAGCACTCCCAAGTCCTTCCTCTCAGGGCTGCTCCCACTTAATTCTTCTGCATTTGTACTTGGGATTGTCCTGTTTGTCTTCATGAAGTTGTCTTCATGTTTTCCACTCTTTTTATCTGCTCATAATCTGGCAACAGTGCAAACAGAGTCCTCACCCCAGGGTCTAGCCTCATCCTGCTGACCAACAGGAGCATCCCCTGGCAAAGAAGCTCATCTCTCCTGGAACAGAGAGCTGCTGGCATCTGGCACTGGTGCTGTGCCAGCTGCTGGGTCCAGGGCAGGACTGGGGCACCCAGCCGACCCCTCAGGCTCACAGCCCTTCAGCCTCCTTGCCCTGCTCGCCTCTGCACACCAGCTCTGCATTACTAATGGGCTATTTCTGGATGGCTCTCCTGAGTAATGGAATGAATTGTGCTGAGATTTTGGGTGGGGACAGCCTCTGCCCTCTGAGTCACCACTGGGCACCGCGCCGGGTCAGGGCTGGAGCCGTGGGAAGGAGCCCTGGGCGGGGGACAGTGCTCAGCCTGGGGCAGGAGCAGGGCCATCCCAGGGCAGCCCTGGGGCAACTGCTGTGCCCCTCTCAGGGCAGCCCTGGGGCAGGAGCAGGGCCATCCCAGGGCAGCCCTGGGGCAACTGCTGTGCCCCTCTCAGGGCAGCCCTGGGGCAGCTGCTGTGCCCCTCTCAGGGCAGCCCTGGGGCAACTGCTGTGCCCCTCTCAGGGCAGCCCTGGGGCAGCTGCTGTGCCCCTCTCAGGGCAGCCCTGGGGCAACTGCTGTGCCCCTCTCAGGGCAGCCCTGGGGCAACTGCTGTGCCCCTCTCAGGGCAGCCCTGGGGCAGGAGCAGGGCCCCTCTCAGGGCAGCCCTGGGTGGGGGACAGTGCTCAGCCTGGGGCAGGAGCAGGGCCATCCCAGGGCAGCCCTGGGGCAACTGCTGTGCCCCTCTCAGGGCAGCCCTGGGGCAGGAGCAGGGCCCCTCTGGCTTTGGTTCCTGCCCAGTGCCTGCAGACTGGGCACAGACAGATCCTGGTGTCCATCTGGCTGTTTGTGTCCTTGGGCATCTCCTGCTCCTCACGCTGCAGATGCTGTCAGCTGCCTGTGCTGTGGGTTAGATACTGGCACGGCCCAAACTGCCTTTCCTCTGGGAGATAGGGAGTCACAAAGCAGCATATCATGTTTTGCTGTGGGCAAAGAAGCTTTGTGTCCAAGTAAACAGGCTTTTTTCTCCCTGAGCTCTCTGTTTTCTGTGCTGTGGACATGCTGCTGGAGAGAGGACGAGCCTTTGGTCAGACAAGAAGGATGGTTTGCAACAAGGGTTGGACTTGTACATCTTTGGGCCTTTATGATTCCGTGGGACTGTGGGTTTGCCTAGCCCAGCTGGGCAGGCTGGAGCAGCAGGACATGAGGAATAGGGACAGGAGCTGTTCCCCCCCCCTATTCTCAGCACTTGCCTCCCTAAAAGTGCCCCTGGTTCCTAAAAGGGACCCTTTGGGGCACCTTTTTCTTTTTTTCTCTGACTTCAGTGTTGCACAAATGTGCTCACCTTCCTGTAGACATGCTGCTCCACTGGGATGTGTGCCTGACACCAAGGATCCCAGCTGAGGAATGTCCCATCTCCCGGATGCAGCCCTTGATTCTCACTCTTCTCACCTTACAAGTGCCAGCTTTCTATTTTTATTAGCAGCTCCAGAGCACTCAGCAGTCATGACCCATTCCTGCCTCAGCTTGTGAGCCAAAATGCTTGGAACCTACAAAGGTCCGTGGCTACAGCAGGGTCTGGTCTGGGATGGGTGAAAACTCTCTCTCTTTTGCCCGAACCATTGGGCAGGGTGAGCTGTGAAACTGGGGTGGTTCCCCGGGTTTGTGTGACAGGGGTGACCTGCCAGGCACACGGATGAGACAAGCAGGTCTGCAGCCTGCCTTTGGAATGCCAGTCAGCCCTTCAGGCTCATTTCCTAATCCTTTCCTTGCAGCTAATTGTGATGCAGCCAGAGTCCTGCTTTACCCTTTTCCTCCCTCTTCTGTTGGCACGGGGTGAGGGTGGGATCCCTGGGCCAGGGACAGATTCCTGGCCTTTGGTAAGGCTCAGTGTGAGAGCCCTGCTTAAAGGCTTGTGATGTTCTGGCCTTCCCAAGGTGATGCTGGAGTGATCCAGCCCGATCCACTCGCAGGGCTTGCAGCTCAATGCCTCAGCATTGGGGTGTGTGTCCTTCCCAGGGGCTCCCAGCATGAATGGCTCCTTCCCACCCTGCTGCCTGGGCAGAGGGTTTGCAGAGGGACAGGGCTGAGGGGAAAGCATGGAACATCCCTGCCTTCAGGAGAGGGTTCTTGGTCACCTGTAATTTCCCCAGGGCAGTGTGAATTTTCAGGGGTTAAACCCTGACATGTCAGCCTGCGTCATTCCCAGGATCTCTGCAGGGACGGGAAGCTGGTGATGTGCTGAAGGTGTGTGAGGAGTAGGACAGGCTCTTTGGACTGGGAATCTGGGGATGGAAAAGAGGTTTTGGTCACAAGGTTGGGAGGGATGTGATCCCACTATGGCTGATTTTCTCATGCCTCGTTCAGATGCTGTGCCAGGCATTTTGTGGCATTGTCCTGGCCGGTTCCCAGGCTCAGCTGTAAACCCCTTTTGAAAGTGAGGGATGCAAAGGCATCGTTTTCCTTGCAGAACTCCGTCCTTTTCCCGTGGGGCACAAAGCTGCCTGCTTTGTGTGGGGTTTCAGCTCTGTTTGCTGAGTGGTGACTGGCAACCTCTCCCCCTGCCAGTGCCAGTTCGGCTCTCTTGGTTCCATGGCAAAGGCTCCTTTTTCAGACAGGCTGGGACGGGGCCAGCCTGTGCTGGGTGCCAGGCACACAGGTCCTGCTTGCCCAGACCTCCAGGAGCTTGGCTTGGTGTGTTCCAGCTGCTGATCAGGTTATTTAGGGTCTGGTGAGCATGCTGGGGTGAAACCCGAAGCATAGTTTCTGCCTTGAAGAATTTATAATTTAAAATAAACCCAGCATGTGCATGGAACTCTGAGATTGTCTAAAATCCTGGTTGCCTGGGTGGTGGCACAGCAAACGCAGGGAGGGTTGGATGTCTGGGGAAGGCAGAGTGGATTGTCACCTCCCACAAGTCCCTGTGTGCAGCCACCAGCACTGACCACAGCAGGGGTGGCTCTGCCAGCCACAGCAGCAGTGCTGGGTGTGGATGGTTCCAGCCAGCCCAGTTCTGGTGGTGCCCATGAGTGGAGTGTGTGGGGCTGGAGGGGTGTCTGGCAGAGCGCTGGGACCCTCTGTCCTGTCAGTCACTGTCACTCACAGTGGGATGTGCCCAGGTGCTTGCGCCTGTATCTCCCAGGCTGTTGTGCACAGGAGTTTGGGGGCCAGGAGCATGACGTGCCCGTGCTGCTCTGTCCTGCTCACCTGCTCGTGTCCCCACAGCGATGGCAGCCATCAGGAAGAAGCTGGTGATCGTGGGAGATGGTGCCTGCGGGAAGACGTGTCTGCTGATCGTGTTCAGCAAAGACCAGTTCCCCGAGGTCTACGTGCCCACGGTGTTTGAGAACTACATTGCTGACATAGAGGTGGATGGCAAGCAGGTAAGGGCCGTTGCCATTCCTGTCCCCTGGCTCCGTGTCCCCTGCTGGCAGTGCCACTGCCCTGCGCTGCTGCTGGGGTTGCTCTGTGTGCTCGGATGCAGCTGCAGCGCACAGAGGAGCCCACGGCTCCGGCATTTCTGGGTCACCCTGAGCCTGGCCCAGCTTGAGGAAGAGCACAGCTCTACCTGAGGAAGATAAATCTGTGACTCGTGACCTGCAGAGCCCCTGAGCCATGTCCTTGTCCCCTGCAGGTTGAGCTGGCCCTGTGGGACACGGCAGGACAGGAGGACTATGACAGGCTGCGGCCCCTCTCGTACCCGGACACAGACGTCATCCTCATGTGCTTCTCCATCGACAGCCCCGATAGCCTCGGTAGGGACGGGGGCCCCGGGACTCGGTGCTGCTACCGAACCCCCTGGGGCCTGGGAAGCGCCCAAGCTGCCCCTCGAGGATGCCAGAGCTTCCCTTCATCCCCCGGCCTTGTGTGCACTGCAGGGAAATGCTGGCAGCCTGCAGACTGGGCAGAGGTGGTGGGAGAGGCGGTTCTGTGGGGCGAGCTCTTCCTGCTCCAACGGGAAAAGCTTGGGGCTGGTTTCTGTGAGGAGGCTGTGGGGCAGCAGCCCCTCAGCTCACAGGATTCCACGTGTGCCTGTTGTAGAGAACATCCCTGAGAAGTGGACGCCGGAGGTGAAGCACTTCTGCCCCAACGTGCCCATCATCCTGGTGGGGAACAAGAAGGACCTGCGCAACGACGAGCACACGCGGCGGGAGCTGGCCAAGATGAAGCAGGTGGGGACAGCCCCGGGTCCCCCAGCCAGCAAACCACTCCTGCCCACACCAGATCCTGGCTGGAAGGGCTGCACGCCCCAAGGGCAGTCGCTGTTGTGTTCTGGCAGTGTTTCCAAACCCTGTTTTTACTGCTTCCTAGGAGCCGGTGAAGCCAGAGGAGGGGAGGGACATGGCCAACAGGATCAACGCCTTTGGCTACCTCGAGTGCTCGGCCAAGACGAAGGAGGGGGTGCGGGAGGTGTTTGAGATGGCCACCCGAGCTGGGCTGCAGGTGCGCAAGAACAAGAAGCGCCGAGGCTGCCCGCTGCTGTGAGCAGCCCTGCTGGCACTGCCTGCCCTGCCCGGGGCACTGCCGGCACCCAGCGCCAGCTGCACCTCACGGTGCCACCGCCTGCCCGCACCCTTGGCACCAGAGTGCCACCCCCGCTCACAGGGCTCCCTGTGACACTCCGGGGCCACGAGGGGCCAGTGCCTTCAGCACCTGCTGCTCTCCGCGGGCCGGTGCTCGTGTTGCTCCCCGTGTCGCCCCGTTCTGTACTGAGCTCCCTGGTTTTGCCCTTCCCACGGGCATTGCTGGGGTGTTCCCTCTTTCCCCAGCTCTGGGCAGGTGCCGCAGAAGCAGGAGGTGCCGGTCACAGCTCCCGTGTGGGGTGTGCCAGCCCGTGGTGTGCTGTGCTGCTCTCCTGGGCGTGCGGGCAGCACACAGCCGTGTCGCAGACCTGCCCGGGCGGTTTCAGCCCTGTCTGCGCAGAGCTGGGCCCAGCTGCTGCCAGCAGCTCAGCTCTCCTCCTCCTGGGACTGTGCCCAGCTCTGCCGGCACCGCCGCCTCCGAGTCTGCCTCGGCCACGGGCTTGGCAGCGCTAAACCAACTGCATAATTGGGAGAATAAATGCAAACTGGTATTTTAGTAATTGTAACTTGGCTTGTGTGGCGTTCTTGTGGCTCTCCTTTGCGCCTCTCGGTGCTCCAGGCTCCTGCCCGGGCTCAGGGCCGTGTGCTGCAGGGTGGGGACTTGCCTGGCCCCAGCCCCTGTTGCTTTAGCTGCTGGTGGAGGATCAGGGCTCACTGCCCTGTACTTGCAAAACAGCCAGGAAGCAGTTTACATGGGAAGGGCCAGGCAGGAGCTTCCCAGCTGTACCCAGTCCCTGGGTGATGGGCACTGCCATCACTGCTGGAGCCATCCTTCCTCTGGAGCAGCTCAGGGCAGGGCTGCAGTGAGCCTGATGCTGCTCTGAAGCCCTGTCTGTGTAAGCAAGGCCCACCTCGGACTCAGCAGTACACTGCTTTTCTTTAAACATTTATTCGAGGGAAATAGAGTGTCTGCACGGCCATGCCAGCTCTCAGGCCAGGCAGCTGCCCAGAGGAGAGCTGAGCCAACCCGTCCCAGACCAGGTCCCTGCCTTCCCCAGTCACCCATCACAGCAGCAGCGAGCTCCCCTGTGCACCCAGTGATGCTCTTTGGAGGCCAGAGCCTCCAGGCTTCAGCCTTTCACTGAATGGTGAGACCAGTCACAGAGAGTAGTTTTGCCACAGCCATGTAAAAAAATTATTAAAATGGAGAGTTGTCCCAGTCTGGTGCTGGTGTGGGCTTCGTGGCTGGCAGCAAAGGCTGGCAACACCTTCTGGTCCTGTGAGTTCAGCCCCATCTCCACAGGGATGCATGGAGCACCCCGGGACTGGGACAGAAAAAGCAGGAGCTGCTGCAGGCTTGGGACAGGCTGAGGGGGATGCACCTTCATGGGGCTTCTCCTCCCTTCCCAGGTGCATTTCCTGCAGAGAAACCTCATGGCAGAGCTGGCTCCTGACTTTGAGATGGAGACAGGCAAGCCCTAAGCAAAAACTGATTTAAGTCCTGCGGCATTTGGGGCAGGAGAGGCCTCCCAGTGCCCCAGCTGTTACCCTGGCCCTGCTGCCAGCTCTGCTCACCTGGGTGCTAAACTCTGAGCTGCAGTGCCTGCAGGTCGTCGGCGAGTCTGTCCTCAGCTGTGCCCTCCTCCTCGAAAGGGTATCCGGTGTAGCCCCCCTGTTCCTTGCAGTACCTGAGGAACCTGCAGGTGCAGAGCGAGGGGAGCGTGGGCACGGGGTGGCACCGGCCCCGCTGCTCTGTGGGAGTGGGCACGGCCTGGCACCACGTGCTGGCAGCAGGACGGGGCAGGTGCTGGTGAGCACTGCCAGGGGCCAGGAGCACAGGAGCAGCTCACCTGAGCCAGTGCTGGTCCTTGCTGAGCACGGTAGGATTACCCACCACGATCAACAGAGCCTTGGCCCTGGTGATGGCCACGTTAAGCCTCTGAAGAGGACAAGCAAGAGGGTGTTACCTGCTGCAACACCTCTCATGGTCCCGCAGCCCCAGCGGGGTGTGGGCAGCTCTGGTGGCATGAGCAGCCAGAGCAGCTCTACCTGCCTGTGAGAACCACAGGGCAGAGGGGGATGCCAAGGGACACGGGGCTAGGCAGTACCTTGGGGTTCTTGAGGAAGCCCAGCCTGAAGGTCTGGTCGAACTGGAGGTACATGCTGCAGCTGCGCACCGTGGAGATGAGGATCACCTGCCGCTCCTGGCCCTGGAACTCTTCCACAGAGCCCACCTGGGGCAGGGACAGCAGGTGAGGGCCGGGAGCACCCCTGGGCTGGGGCTGTCAGGCCTCCTTCCTCCTGTGGCACGGTGTGCTCCTCTCGCCTCCATGCCCAGGACCTACCTTCAGCTGGCTGATGTCCGGCAGCTCCTGCAGATCGGGATCCAGGCAGGTGATGGCTTTCCGGATCTTCTCTACCTGAGTGGAGGCACGAGGCGAAATCCAGCCTGCACAGGGCCATCCTTGTGCCAGCCCTGTCCCAGCCCATCCATCCCAGTGCTCCCTGTCCCTTGGGAGGTCTCTGCTCTGCCTCTGCCCTGCCTGCAGAGCTGTGTCCCTCACCTGCTTCCTGTAGGGAGAGATGATGCCAATCTCCTTGGGGGACACACTGGGGCAGCTTCCCCTGCCCCGGCTCTGCAGCAGCTTCTTGAGGTAGTGGACCAGAACCTCAATTTCAGCCGTGTTGAAGAATGAGGGACTCTTGGCCTCTCTCTGGTCTTCCCCACAAACCCCATGGAAGATGATGGGGAAGCCCTAGGGATGGAGAACATTTGGCTCTGCTCTGCCTGTGCCTCGGGGAACCCCCTGGGTCAGTCCCTCCTGCGCCCCTCACTTTTTTGGGAAGCTCCTCCCAGGTACAAAACAGATTCCGGATGTCAAGCCTGTTGCTCCTGCACACCTTCAGCTCGTTGTCATAGAAGAGCTCGTTGGGGATCCTGAGAATGGCCTCGTGGGACCTGGGAGAGGCAGGACCATGCCAGGGTGGGTGCCATGTGGGTTCAGAGCCCTCTCGGGCACCATGCACCCAGGACAGCAGGTGCCCTCCGATCTCCCACACCAGCTGGGCACTCTGAGGCTCTGGGGGACAGATCCTGGAGTGCCACAGCCACCAATCCCTGCTGGGCTCGACCCCTTCCTGCACTATCGCTGTCCCCACCTGTAGTTCCAGAGCAGCTTGGTGATGAACTGTGGGTCGTACCCTCCACTCGACTTCTGGTACAAGGGGTTGTGCAGCATCAGCCTCTCCAGCAGCGAGGTGCCTGTGCCCAGTGATATCCTGTGGCTCCCCACAAGGTCACTCAGCCCCTGTGGGGCGCCCACAGCACTCCCACTCCTCTCCCTACTCACCCAGACCATACTGGATTGCCAGTGGTGAGGTCAGGACGGGGCCCAGCTGCTTGGGGTCTCCTGCCAGCACCAGCTGCCCCCCATTGGGGTTGGTCTCCTCATCCATGGGCGCCAGGAGCCCTGGGGACAGGGAGAGCTCAGCCGGGAACGGGAGGAGCCCAGGCCATGCAGAGAAACTGGCCCTTGGGGCAGCAGGCGGGCGGGCGCTGCTCACCCGCGACGGCGACGATGCTCTCCGGCTCTACCGCGTGGCCACACTCGTCGATGAACACGTGCGAGAAAAACCCAGGGGCGAAACTGGCTGACACCAGCCTGGAGGAGAGACGCAATGAGGCTGTTCTCAGCATCCTGCCCCACCTGGCCGTCCTTCCCCTCCTGCCCTTCACCCTCATCCTCCCACAGGGGAGGGATTTCCCTGCTGCTGCCTGCCCTCCTCCAACCCCTCCCTGCTGACTCCCAGAGGGTCTGCTTCCACAGCCCGGCTGCAAGGCAGCCCTAGGTCCACCTGCCACGGATGCTGGGGACAATCCCAGCTCCTCTGACCTTCCTGCTGTCACCAGTGTGGTGATGATAATCCGGTAGTGGCTCAGTCTCTCCTTGCTTGGGTACACGTAGCTGCTCTGCTCATCATCCCAGTTGCAGCAGGGCTGGAGCACAGGCATTGGGTGAGGTCCCATTATCCTGGGGAATGCCAGCCCAGACGTGCTGTCAGGATTTCAGGGTGGAGGGGCAGGGACCTACCCTGATATCAGTGGGCACTTCCCTGTAGCTCCTGGAGCTGGCAATGAGCCTGTAGACATTCCGAGGGGCGATGTCCTTGATGATGCACTGGCACAGCAGGTCTGCAGCACTGTTGGAGGGGGCACAGGCCAAGATATGGGCATCCTTGAAGCATGTCCACACCTGAGTGGGAAGAGGAGGTGACAGCATTGAGCCCCACGGATGAGAATGGGCAGCAATGCTCAGGGCTGGATTTGGGCACCGGCCACCCACCTGCTTGATGGCCTCCACCATAGTGACCGTCTTGCCAGTGCCAGGGGGGCCAAAGATGAGGTATGGGGCTGGCCGGGACACCCCCGTCACGATGTGGGTCACAGCTTTGCACTGCTCCTCGTTGGTCTCCAGCTTGCGGTTAAACCACCTGTGGGAGCAGAGGCTGCGCTGCCCGAGCCCCGTGGCCTCCATCCCCTCGGCCCTCGGAGCCTCCACCCCGCAGAACTGGGACTCACCGCGGCTGGAAGGGCCCTGAGAAGAGGGACTTGTGGCAGGAGGCGGAGGGGAACAGGAGGCTGGACAAGCCTGGGCGCACGGCCAGCACTACAGCCCGGTGCTGCACCTGCAGTGGCAGCCGGCTGAAGGTGAAGGTCACATCGAACTTCAGGTTCTTCACAAACTTCTTCTGCAGCCTGGGAAGGAATGGTGTGAGCAGGGCATGGGGCACTCTCCCATGCCCTCCTGGCCCTTTCCAACCCACTCCTGGCCTTTGGCATCTCTGAGAAAGGCTGCTGGGACCAGACACCACTCACTTGGAGGAGAAGCCCAGCCTGACCCTGTCCAGCTCCACGCTGTGCACGTAGCCCTTGTAGCGGACGAGCGGGGAGTGGTCCCGCTCGCTGCTCAGGTGGGCAAACAGGTGGTCCCCTCTCAGCAGGGATGGGCGGTTCTCGGCCACGCCAGGCACCTGTGCCAAAGGGCCAGTGTGATGCCAGGCACTGGGGAGTGCCAGTGTTGTGCCAGCACCCCTCCCGTCCCTCAGCACCCCACGCACATCGAGAACCAGCAGTGCCCTCTCCTGCACCATGGTCACGTCCTGCATGTCGTAGCGACGGATGTCCACCTCCATCTGAATCTCCTCCAGGTGCAGCAGCAGCTGGAATTTCTGGTAGTAGTTCTCAGCCTGCAGAGGTGCTTCCAGCAGCGAGCTGAGGGCAGCAGCAATGTCATTGTGTCCCAGGGACAGCTTGGCACTCAAGGAGCACCTCAGCATTGCTCTCAGCCCTTGGCACTCACCGCATGGCAGCCCAGCTGGAGCTGGCTCTGGAGTTGGGTCCGAGCAGGATCGTGTCCTTGAGGCTCTTTGGGTACTGGTAGGTGCCCAGAGGGATCTCCCTCTCCAGTTCGTTTTTCAGGGAGCTGGGTGGAGGGGACAGCAGTGCCTCAGGGACTACGTGGTGTCCCCAGCCCCACTGTCACCAGCCATGGAGCAGGGTTGAAGCACTGTCCGGTGGTGCCAGGCAGTCAAGGAGCTGAACCTTGTCCTGGCTGGAGAAGAGGCTGGGCCCCTCTGCTCAGGACGGCAGCAGGTGAGCTCATCACATACCTGTCAGGGGGGACGCCATCCTCGGTGATGACTGTGACATGGCGCTGGAGGCTGGCCTCGTAGGGCTGGAAAGGTGCTGAGGGCCCCAGGTCCTTGGCCAGCTGGCTCTCAGCAATGGCAGCGACGTAGCGGGAGATGCTGAAGGACACGTCTGGCTCCTTGGTGAACTCGAAGGACACCACAGCGCTGAAGTGCCCATTGCAGGTGGTGAGGCACCGCGCCTGGATGGGGTACATCCCACCTGTGGGGTGAAGGGTGAGGCTGGGTCCTGCATCCTGCGTGTGGGGCAGGGCACGGGGCAGGGTATGGCATGGACCCTACCTGGGTGTAGCAGCAGGGACTGGCCCTGCACTGCCCCTTGCTCATCGGTGAAGGAGAGCTCCCGCGCCTGCTGCTGTGCCTGGAACCGCTGCAGTGTCACCACCTCTGTGCCACGGTTCTGCACCAGGACAGCGACCGTCCGGGGCTCGCCCGGCACCGCCGGGAAGCGAATATTCCCGTTGCCCTGGTCATAGTCTGAGGTGATCTCCACCCCGTGCTTCCCACGAATGAGCTCAGCCCTGTGGGGAGGGAGGGTCAGGCTTTCCCAGCCGGGCTGGGGGATCCAAGGGACGTGCCAGGGTGGGGTGCTGCTGGTCATACCACTGCTTGGCATAGCGCTGGGGCATTTGTGGAGTGGAGCTGAGCTGCTGTCCTGAGGCAGACGTGGCCACAGATGTCTGTGCATTGCTCCTGGGTCGCCGGTACTGGTCTGCCACCACCACATGTCTCTTCACCTGCAAGGAGCAGCCAGAATCAGAGTGGCCCTGGGACTCTGCAGGGGGCTCCTGAGGGGCCAGTCCTGGTGGGCACTGCCCCAGCACGAACTCACCTTGAATTTCACCAGATCTCCGCGCACCTGAACCTGGTGGGTTGTCCTCAGCGCAAACAACATGCAGGAAAAATTGGGCGTCCTTGCCTCAGTCCTGCGGAGACAAGGGAGAGGGTTTGTGTGGGACAGTGTGACTCGGCTGCCACGGGCACAGGCAGCTGGGATGAGGCAAGTGGGAAGACGAAGCAGGACACTGAGGCTGCAGTGAGGGGGCTCTCAGCAGGTCCCCTCTGCTCCAGCAGAGGAAGAAAGGCTTCCCACTGGCCTGTGCAAATCTTACATCCCTGCTGGCTGATCCAGCTGTGCCGTTGCTGTCCCAGCTATGCCACAGCCATTCCAGCTGTCCCACTGCATCACTGCCTGGCCCTGACAGCCACGCAGCCCCTGCCCATGCCAGTGCTCTGGAGCTGAGCTGGCACAGGTGGTGGCTCTGCTAAGGCATGGCCACCGTGCTCCCAGCAGCGATGACTCCCCAGGTACCTCCTCGCAGTCCCACCGGCGCACCGAGCCCTGGCTTTGCCAATGATTAACAGCGGCGACATTGCACAAGGGCCAGTGTGATTGGTGTCAGCAGGGTGAGGCGGGGGAGTGTGGTGGGCAGTGGGTGCCCAAGGCCATCCCCAGGCAGCTGCTGGGGGCCATGGAGCTGGGGATCATCCCTGCAGGGCTTTGGTGAGACAGGTGAGCTTGGGGACCCCAGTGATGCTGCTGGGGGCCAGTGGCGCCGGCCAGGCACTGGGGATGCTGGCCCAGGAGTTGGGAGATGCTGGCCCGGGTCTGTCCCAGGTGAGGGCTCTCACCTGCCGCGGAACTCCTGGTTGTAGATGGTCCGCAGCGTTTCCCGCAGGCTCGTCTGCTCCCGGCCCGTGTCCTGCAGGAACTGCACGAATTGGCACCCCCAGAGACTGGCCTCCGCCACGCTGAACCGCGGCATGGTCGAGCCGAGCCGAGCCGAGCCGAGCCGTGCCGAGATGGTGCCGCGTCCAGGAGTGCCAGGTTAAGCCGGGCTGGGCTGGGCTGGGCTGGGCTGAGCCAGGGCGGGTCGCGCACGGAGAAACGAAAGCGAAAGAGGCCGTGGGGCCGCGGGCCCGCCCGGCTGGGGCGGATCGGGGCTGGCAGGGACAGCCCGGGGCAGCAGCCGGGGGAGAAGGGCCCGAGGCAGGCACGGCACCAGGCAGGCTGCAGGGTGATTAGCGAAAGATTTGGAGAAGGACAGAGAGATAGAAACGCTCCTAAGGCTGGAGCACTGGCGGGGAACTGCTCCCAGCGTGCCCAAGGAGCAGGAGCCTAGCCTTGAGGCAGATAAAAGCCGTGTTGTGTGCAGAGCCTTATCTTGCGCCCTGCTTCGGCTTCACATTCTTGGAATTGCCGCAGCGATTTCCTGGATGGTCCAGGGCCGCAGCCCACAGCACCTGAGGCCCACACAACCTGCCATCTCCCCTGGGTGCTGCGCAGGCAGGAGCCGCTTACACTGCCCGTGAGCAGCTCCTGCAGAGCTGCGCAAACCCTCCGAAAGCCCTGCTTTTAGGATACAACCAGGATACAAACCGCATGTGTAGGATACAACCAGGAGTGTCTGAAGTAGGCTAAAGTAAGGTACTGAGAGTGAGTGGAATGACCTCCTTGCTGCCTTTTTCCCATGGTGAGGAGCTGCAATAAAGCTCTGTGATGGTTTCTATTTTAGTTTGGAAGCTCAGCCCTCCAGTTCCCATGTCTGTATACCAGGGCATTTGGACTGATACCATCCCTGCCTTAGTCATGGAACTGTTAAGATTGGAAAAGACCTTTGAGAGCATCAAAGTCCAACCACGAACCCAGCACCACTACTGTGATCACCACTAAAGCAGGTCCTCAAGTGCCACATTCACATTTTTGAACACCTTCCAGGATAGTAATGCCATTTCCTAGACTTCAGGAATTAAAAGGAATGAGACCATGAAAGAACAGACACAAATGGCTTTAAACAAAGACTGGTGTATTTGCACTAGACTAGTTGATACAGAGGATGCCTGAGGGATGAATTGTCAGTCTCAGCAGCAAATACAAATATATTTTAATTAGTTAAAACTCACAAAGGATAAGCACTTATTTTGCGGTGTTACTGTGCAAAACCTGAAGCGTAATGCACAGGCAACCCCACCCCTCTCTTCCCAACCCTTTTTCCTTTGTGTATTTAAAAACAAGAAGACATGAGCCAGTTTAAAAACCAGAACCTGCAAGGCGCCCAGTGATAACCAAGTGCAAACAAAGCAAAGGGAGTTCACCAAAGGAGGTTCACTTTGTAGCGAATCTGTGTTCCAAGATCTGAGAAAGGCGTATGTCTATCTCTTCATCCTCCCCTTCGGAGAAACTGTTATGACTGCTAGGTTTGATGTTAGAGGGGGAAAATAATAATGCAGAACAAGCATGCAGAAGAGATTCATTCCAAAATCCCCTCTAGGCATGACAATAAACTGTCCACAACTGAGACAAATGGAAAGGATTTTTTCTTTCACTTTGGTGCAAGTTTATTTATTTTGTACACTATCCATCCATACACCTGCGATACAAATCTATGAACCTGCCACAAAGCATTAAAGCACAACATACCTATTATTTTGTAGACATTTGCATTTTTAATCACCATCCAGCCCTTGTGGATCAGCAGTGACTCATCTTGTAGTTCTGTAAAAATGCAGATGTCTGGTAACCGTACATACACGAGGAAGGGGAGAAGAAAAATGTTCACTTTTAGGGAACATGGCTCAAATCTTCAGATTAAAAAAAAGTTACGTCCCCGGAAGAGCTGGGTCAGTAGGGAATTCTGTAAAGGATCCTGTAAACTCATTTTCTACAGCAAAATCTAAGCCTGCAGGCATCTGCTCTGTGGAGGCTGGGAATAAGGATACACAAGGACTCACTGTCTTGCACTTACTGTGTCTTGCAGTCGCCGTGAGCTCTTGGCAGGTTTGACAAACTTACTGGATACCTGGAGTGCTGAATACAGGTGAAGGGAACGCTCTGTACCCTCTCCTGGGGTAATAATAGGGCTTTTCCAGCTAGGAGGTTTTCCAGCCAGTGACTGAAAACAGCTATACTTCTGAGCCATGAATGGCTGAATTTAAATGACCTATTAAATGCAGCTACAACAGGAAGTTTATGTGGCAGGAAACACAAAACACAAAGACAACTATTTGTTCCATGGTTCCCTCTCAGGCTAGAAAACCTGGTAACTTTGAAAGCCCTAAAAATGCTGCTCTGGTTTAAAAACCATCTACTTGGCATAGGACCGTATTTGTTTTTTTGCACACGACTGTTTCATACACCTCCTTATTTCTGCATTAAGCATTCTGCATTTCTTTGCCAATCTTGTAGCTGAGGATTTTGTTCCAGTCAATCTTGGTGCGGGTGACGGGCAGCTGCCGGCGTAAGGCTTTGAAAGTGGTGTCTGACATGGTCTGGTAGTTTTCACTGATTGCTGTCTGCAAGGGCAAGCACATTTGGTGAGGGCACACATAAAACACTATGAGAACGCTCAACTTAGTGTTAAAGCCACAAACTCCTTTCTGTAAGGTGTACGGCCCACTATTAACTAAATTAATAAGGCAGTCATCAGTGTGTGTGCAAGTCAAAGGCTTTTTATTCACCTTCCCTGTAATGTAGCAGCATCTCCTTAGGTCTTTCACTGACTTATCTCTTTCCAGTCTCCTGGCACAGAGGCTGGGACAATGCAAAAGCTGTTGCACAAGTTTCCTCCGAGGAAAATACATTGACTCACCCACTCCTCCCTCCCATGCTTGTTCCAGGAATCATTTGTAACCCTTTAAAAAAACCGTACAGTAAACCTGATAGTTAATTACAACACACCTTTGTAACTTTACAGCTTTGTAACTATATTTTTTAAACAAATACTGCTACCCTTTTCTAAGCAATTCTTACAGGCAATACCAGATTCAGCTAGGAACAGAACGAGAGGTCACTTTTCCATGTTTCTATTAACTGCAAATGGAGACTGATATGATTCTGTTTTATTTAACTACCACTGATCTTACCTGGTACTCGTTTTCTGCATTTTCTATGATCTTAATAAATTCCTTAGCAGTTTGGACATCACTCTACAAAGGAAAAAAAAAAGTTTGCATGTTTAAAAGCAACTTACATAACTTACATAAGCTACACAATAGATTTATTCTCAAATGATAGGTTGAGTTTAGATAAAGTAGGTAACATCATCAGCTTGTGCCTTGTGGTTGTAGCTGGGTTCCTTCCACTTACTACAAACTGGGTAGAGGCTTGTGCTCCAAAGTGGAACAGAGCTGCACCCTAGTGAGCAAAAGGGAAGTGGACCTTCATGGTAAAATGAGTCACTCTGTAGCTGTTGGTCCCTCTACCAAACTAGAGGATTTCTTAATTTGCCTTAGCATATGTCTCTTACTGTTTCTTTCCCTTGGACAGAGATAGAAAAACATATTCTGTCCTTTTTAACCCTAACTACTATGAGAAGCTTTCCAATAGAGACTTTCTAATAAGACTGAATTTTAAGCAGTTGGGAATCTGGGATTCCTACGTGACTCTAAACAACACAGTGACTGTTCACCCTAAAATGACTTTAGTCAAGAGAATGCAGTCATAGCAGCATGCTTCGTGAGCTGTTAAAGGAATGAAAACAGTTGCTTATCATAAAGATCTTTTAGCATACTTACTGACACCTGTACAGAGTCCTGAATGTCTTTGTGACTAACCAGCTGGACATTGCCATCTTCATAGTAATGGACCTGGACAAAAAGACACAATGCAGGTTTTATTATGACCACTCTCTCCAGAATTCCTGACCCCCCAAATGCTACTAAAATGGCACAACAGAGCATTGTGCCAGTCTCCTCTGCTTACACGGGGACTAAAAGCAGGATGGATTGTCTAAAAGGTTTCATTCTTTGTCAAGACTGTTCAAGATTATGTTAATCAGTAAATGCCTAGAGCTAAGAGCAATTATAAGACTCAAGGTAGAGGTTTTAGCCCTATAAAGTGAAGCAAAGTAGAGGTCTGTAGGGTAATGCTACATAATAAACCACAGGCCAGATCTGAAACTATTACTAGAATACTAGATTTAAGAATTACTTTCTTGAATTGTTTATTTAATAACATCCTGACTCGAGAAGGACATCTCTGCTGCATTTCAGCACCTCACTCTGGGACAAATGCATTTGTGTAAGACAAGCACAATGCAGCTCCTCCTGTTACTGCCAGGAAAAATAACTCACCTGGATTTTGAGCACTGCAGCCACTTGAGCTGTTGGTGGTGTGATGGTAAACTTCCATTCTGATCTCCAACGCCCGTTCCTAGAAGCAATCAAAGCATGAAAAAACTATTTCCAAGAAGCTCTAACAGCAAAAAGAATGAAATTAATAACCAAGTTGTTTCTGATGTTGTCTTATCACCAATACCACATGGGATTTAGTGCTTTAGATGGCATGGAGTTAAATTTCTGCAGCCCAGCTGAATACAATGCAGCTTCAGTACAAAGAAGCTCCAGAGATGTAAAGGAGTATCTACCTAGCTCTGATAATGCCTTTTCCTCTGGAGAGGTCACAGGAAGAGTTTTGCTAAGTGCCAGGGGGGCTGCAAGGAAAACACACTACAGAAGGAAAAGAACTTCTTGGGAAGCCCAAAACTCCCTGTCCTTCAGACTGTGTCAGAGCTAGAGAATGGGGTGGTTTGAGGAACCAGGCAAAGGAAGAAAACACACTATGTTGAAATAGTCTTACCAGAAGTTTTTGGGCTGAAACTGGTGGCTCTCAATACAGGCAATAATTGTCTGCTGTCCATCTATAGATTTACCATAAACCTGTATTTAGAAAAAGAGTTAAAAAGGCCCAAGAGCTAAGGAAAGCCATTTTTAGTCTCTGTTCTTGGCAGCAGGGTGCAGGCTGCTGTGGCGGTACCTCACTGGGAAC